AGTGTTGCATAAAGACTCAGTGGGAAAAGCGTGTCATAATTAATTCTCTGGATTTCACATAGTCATGGAAGGCAGAAATCTGGATATGTGTACCACGTATTTGTCATTCCCCATCTAATGCAACTTCCCACCTCGTCTGAAAAGTCTCTGGTCTATAATATTACTCTGAGATGGTTTCTGCTTCAGCATGTTCATTGGAACAGATCATTTCATGTTTGGATTTCTCTATTTGTTATTAAGTTCTTCCCTGAGAGTATGGTGCAGGTAAGTGGCTCGGCTGATTTAGATAACCTAAAGCTAACTCTGACTCTGTCATCTACTAGTTATGTGACTCTAGAGAGTAACAGTCTCTTTGGGTCTTGGTTTTCCACCCGAGAAATGAAAAACTTGAACTGAGTAACCACAAAGTTTCCTTCCAGGTTTAAGATCCTATTATTCATATGAGTCAATATCTGCCTTGCAGAGACATGTTCCATGTGTTCACTTACACAGCCAGGCTTCTGTGAGAGCTCTTCACATATTGGCCTTCTGAGTTTTCTGTTCTTGCTAAACATGACCAGTTTCTTTAATCTTGTCTGATATGATGAGGTTTCTAGACCTTTCACCATTCTGGTTATTCTACTGTGGACATGAGTTTTCCAGTGTTGCCCTGCAGGTGTGGCTCCCAGAACTAGACCTGGGTTAGCGGTGCAATGGGGTATCTCCACTCCTTACCCATGTGCTCAGCCTCCTGGCCAATGGGACCCACGCTGACAAGTGCACAGCCCACTAAAACTTCCTGAATCCAGGGCTATATTATGTGTTTTAGAGGCCCTCCTCCAAGCTGCCTGCAGAACAGATGCAGGGGCCCATGGGGTCATATCTAACCGGAGATGGTGCTTCCCCCAAAGACCAGTAAGTAGCCAAGTGCTGATGAACTGAACACATGCTGCTTCTTGATAAACACAGAAGAAAGATTTGCCAGAGATGGTGTTAACGTTTGCAGTGGTTGGTTTTAATTGATCAATTTTTAAAATTGAAGTATAGTTGATTTATAATATATTTCAAGTGTACAAGACTGCAACTCAATATTTTATAGGTTATACTCCATTTAAAGTTATTCTAAAATAATGACTATACTTTCCTATGCTGTACGGCATATCCTTGTAGCTTATTTATTTTATACACAGTAGTTTGTACTTCTTAATTCTCTACCTTTATCTTGCCCCTCTCTCCTTCCTTCTCCCCAATTTTTTTTTTTTTTTTTTTTTTTTGGTTGTTGCTCTTTAAATGAGGCATTGGGTGCTCATATCTCCACTGGTGAGAATATGTCTCTGGCCCTTCCCTTTTGCCATTCTGCTCCCCACACTCATTCTCTCTGACTTTGTGGCACATGACTCCTTTCCTTAGTGGTTCTTGTATTTACACAGAAGGACAGGTGCAAAGGCTCTTCCTCATGGGAAATACAAGGAGAACAAGGAAAAACAAATGCAGATTTGGAGAGGATTCTGCTTTGCCCATGAGCCTACTAGAGATGACGATGCCAAAATCATTCTGGGAGGACTCTGACCCTCAAACAGAAGAGGGCCCTCCAGCTTCCTAACCCCAGGGACAGGATGTTCTGAAGACTACAAAATCCCAAGTGCTGTGGCCCTGCACCATCACCCTGGCCCTCCCTTTTCCTTCGCCTCACCCTTTTGTTGACTCAGTTGCCCTGGCCTCTGCTCTGCTCTTTGTAAACCCCAATCATGATCCCACTTCAGGGCCTTTGTATCTTCTGCTTTCTGGAATGTTCCTTACCCAGCCACTTCGTGGCTTACCCCACTGCATTTGGACTTCTGTTCATGCATCAGCCCATTTGTTCTCTGAGGTCCCCTTCTCCCCAGCACACCATTCTCGTCATCTACTCTGCCATCTACTGTCTTAATTTCTTAACAAAGCCTGTCCACATGTGAATGTGCTTACTTGTATTATCTAGAATATAAACTCCATGAAGGAAAGACATTGCTTTATTCACTACTGATTCCCCAGTGCCTTGAAGTGTACCCAGCACATGCTGTGCCCTCAATATTTGTTCTTATGTGACATCATCCCCAATGCTGATCAACACAAACACTCTTCTCACAGAAGTGCTTTGAGGTTTTCAGTAGCTGGTTAATTAGTCCACTGGTGGGCAAGTGAGTCACCGGGGATGGGACCCTCCGTTGATTAGAGCAGCATGGATTTGTTCAAAGGCTCTGGTGTACCACTCTACAAAACCACCACCTAGGTTAAGTCACCAAGGGTTACTGTGTGAAGGGAGAACTGTGAGCTCCAGCTCATCCAGAACTGCTCTGATCTGAGGTGAGGCCCCAGAGATGAAGGCAAGAGAGAAGGCGAGTGGTGTGCGTGTGTTTCCCCCATACAACCTCCATGGTTCATTGCTAGAGCCTGGGCTTTCTCTTTCACATCAGTTGTAGAGACCAAAGCCAGTTTTGCATGACTCAGTGACCAGGCAAGGGGAATGCCCCTGGGGGGCTGGTGGGAGCAGTATTAGCTGCTGTGGCCATATGCACCGTTCATGTAGACTTGGAAGAAGGTGATGAAGGAGAAGTGGATGCAGGAGAAGCATGAGGTCTAGGTGAAGCTGTTGAGCAGCAGAGGACCTCTGAGCAGAGCCAACAGACAGGGAAATTCCAGGACCAGTCGAGTGGAGGAGTGGTCATGTGACTCTAGAGTCCAGTTGAGCTGACCATTTGTCCAAGGTGAAGTGACTGCCCGGGAACTGGGGAGAAGAGGGAAGCTCCTTGCACAGAGCTGACATCCTGAGAGGAGGGATTAAAGCATTCCTGGGAAAATACTTCAAATCTACCCCTGTTTCTTCAATGCTTCCTTCCTCTATCATCAAGACTTGAGTGAGGTCCCAGAAAAAAGTCCTGTTACACCTGGGAGGAAGTAACTCTGAATCTTACCATTTACTAATTCCTAAGTGTCATGTAAGTTGTGAGAGTTGGACTATAAAGAAGGCTGAGCACAGAAGAACTGATGCTTTCCAACTGTGCTGCTGCAGAAGACTCTTGAGTATGCCTTGGAAAGCAAGGAGATCAAACCAGTCAATCTTAAAGAAACTCAACCCTGAATACTGTTTGGAAGGACTGATGCTGAAGCTGAAGCTTTAATACTTTGGCCACCTGGTGCGAACTGGAAAAGACCCTGATGCTGGGAAAGATGGAAGACCGAAGGAGAAGAGGGTGACAGAGGATGAGATGGTTGGATAGTATTACCAATTCATGGGACATGAACTTGGGCAAACTCCAGGAGATGGTGAGGGACAGAGAAACCTGGTGAGCTGGGGTCTCAAAGAGTCAGAACTGACTTGGCGACCGAACAAGAAGTGTAAGTTTAGCTCTTCAATTCTTTTTTTTTTTGTTTTTTCCAGTGACAGTACTCCAGAGCTTTTCTGGATAGAACTGCTCAGTGGCAGGCTGTGTTTTGCAACGATGACAGCACTAATACCTTCCATTCCACATGCGCTCCTTTCGAAGCGACCTTGAACATCTTTCCATTGAGTGGTGAGTCCCTTGAACTTGGGTGGATCGTCTGCACTTGCATCTGAAGATGAACATGACAGACACGAGGATGCCTCAGAACACTTTCCCTCTAGAGTTTCCCTTCTGCTTAGCTTTTCCTGGATCCTCCCTCTCTTAGTGTCAAACAGAGACACTCATTCTGAGCTGAGCTGCTTTTCTTAAAGTTGTGCAAGAACTTCCTGTTGGCTGGGAAATTTTTTATTTTTTGACTGTGCACAGCCTACGAGATCCCAGTTCCCCAACCAGGGATTGAACACATGCCTCCTACAGTGGAAGCATGGAGCCCTAACCACTAATCTGCCAGGGAAGTCCCATGGCTGGGGCAAATTTAATCCCTCTTTTTCTGATCACTGTGCTAAGCAGTGAGGAGAGAATCTCAACCCGTTCTCCCCGCCCCAGCTCCTGCAGGAGGCATGACAGTCAGCCTTGAGGGTGAAGATGTCAATTAAAACTATGTTACCTGCAAAATGTCACCCATCCCAAGCAAGAGATGTCAACCATTCCTTGATCATCTAGAACTGTAAATTACCTATGAGGACCATGAATTTGGATGACCTGCAAGTCCTTCAAGGCCAGAAAGAGAAACCCTTGATCCCTATTTCTCTTCATCAGGTTCTAGGCCTTTTCTTATGATAATTCCCTGGCTTGGGGGAACCATCAGTGTCTCAGATAACAGGGGCTGGGGTTGGGACTGGAAGTGGATGATTTTTCTAATGTCTTTTAGAGGCTGGGACCCAGGCTGGAGGTAATCCTTTGATGCTGGCTGGTTAATAGTTGTATTAATCTTCTAGGGCTGCCAAAACAAGATACCACAGAACGGGTGACTTACAGAAATTTATTTTCTCATTCTTGGAGATTGGAAGTCCAAGACCAAGGTGTTAGCACCTTGGTTTCTCCCGAGGCCTCTCTCCTTGGCTTTCAGGGGGCTTCCTTCTCTGTCCTTCCATGGTTTTCTGTGTGTGCATGCTTCCCAGGCATCTCTCCCTCTTCTTGTAAGAACTCCAGTCATATCAGCTTAGGCTCATCTCAGTGACCTCTTTTAACCTTCATTATCTTTCTAAAGGCCCTATCTCTAAACAGTCATATTCTGAAATATTGGGGGCGGGGTTTAGGATTTCCACATGTATTTTAAAGGGAACAAATCCATAACAATACTTTATGAACAGTGGAGGGGTAGTGAGTGCTATGGATAATCAATCTATGGATCCTGGAGAACTTCTGGTGCTCTTGAAGAGATGTCCTGCTAGGCTCATGTTGCTCAGAGTAGGGCCAGAACATGTACCAGGAGAGAGAGAAGGGGGAGGGTGCGGAAGGTTGTGCCAACTGCCCAGGCCACTCCTGGGAGTCTCACGGGAGGCCCAAGGTCCAGGGTGGTTTCCAGGCACCAGCTACATTCCAGACCATCATGTGGCTAGGCAGTGCTCGCGATCCAGGCATTGCTCACGGCAGACCCTACACGAGGGGGCTCTCTGTCTCTTGATCCACTTCATCAGCACAGACATCCTTTTTCTTCTTCCCTGGCAAGGAGATCAGAAAGAAGGTAACTCCTCCAGTGTTTGTACCCAAGGCCCCTGAATCCTAACTGTCCTGGTCCAAGATCATCTCGGGCAAAGGGATATCTCTCCTGGTTTTCTAAGACCCTGGAAAAGGAGATGTTTCAAGGACAGGAAGGTCTTCCTAATGTCTAGTCTTCCTTTGCAACTGCGGCTCACATGTAGTTGTAGAAGGCAGAGAACCTTAGAGCTGGGACAGACCCAGTTAAATGACTGGCAGAAGCCACACGACCGAGCCAGGGCTGGCTTCCAGATGCCCTGAATGCAGCCTTTCCACTTCTCAGACAGTCGAATTCTCTCTGCCCCTTCTTGGTGGACAAAGCCGCTCTTTTCTGAGCCTCGAAAGCATCAGATTAAGTGAAAGAGATCAGTCACAGGGGACCACACAGTTTATGATTCCATTTACATGAACTGTCCCGAATAGACAGTCTAGAGACAGGAGATTAGTGATTGCCTGGGGCTGGAAGGGAAAGGGGGGTTAGGGAGAGATGGCTAAGGGGCTTGGGAATTTCTTTTTGGAGTAATGAGAGTGTTTTCAAATTGAGTGTGGTGATGGATGCACAACTCTGTGACTGTAATAAAAGCCATTGAGTTTTACTCTTTAAATGTATGAATTATATGATATGTGAATTATAGGCCAATAAAACTGTTAAAACAAAAAGCTGCTCTTTTCCTGGCTTCTACCTTCTTACCATAAATCTTGGGGACTCTTTGGGCCAAAGGGCCAGGCCAGACTCTCTCAAGCGGAGACAGGGCCCCTGGATGGAGTGTGACCTCAGCTGTCCCCTCCTCCCTCCTTTGCTAGTGGAAAGAATATGCTGGAGCCAGCTTGGCGGACCAGCTGCATGCTCAGCCGCTGGCCAAGACTCTTGCCTTTGAGGAGGACACAGCCACTGTAACAGGGTCTTATGCCTCCTTCTCCTTGCTGGCCCACTCTCTCCACCCTGGGACCAGCCCAGACAGCCTAGGATGGACATGTCCAGGAGGCCCAGGTCAGCAAGGACAGTTCTCTCAGGGGCAGCACATCCCAGGACTGGCCATGGACCTCAGAACCCAGAGCGCCTCCTCTCTTCTCCTGGGAAAGGAAGCCCTGTGAGCCCCCGCCCAGAGAGGTGCTTCTCTCAGGGAGCATTTCCTAGGATGGTTGACAAGACAGGGTTGAGTCTCATCTAGACTTACACCCAACACAGTTTTATCGATACCAGCTATGTTCCAGGAACCCTTGCTAGGTGCCCGGAGGTAACCCAGAGTGTTTTTCGAGGGCTGAGAGCTCCACGGAGAGTGGGGGCAGTAGGTGCTGTGACTGGGGTGAGCACTGGAGAGTCAAGGCAGGGCACAGACCCAGGCTGGGTGTGCAGGAGGAGTTCCAGAAGGCTTCCTGGAGGTGGCATGCCTTGAGGATGGTGGAGCTGACTGCCAAGTGGAGAAAGCAAGCTAGGCGGGAAACCATGGAAAGTATTTCCCAGACAGAGAGAGTAGAATGTGCAAATGCCTACAGAGGCACTTGAGAGAGTAGCACATTGGAAAACTGCTAAAGGAATTTCAGATAGTCCAGTCTGAAGGAAGACCAGAATATTCGATGGAGAGGGCCAAGAGATGATATGGGAGAGGTAAGGAGGGCAGAGCATGTGAAGCCTAAATAAGAGGAGGTCCGAACTCCGCCCTCCTCCTCCCCAGACCTGCCTTCTCCACCCAGCCCCGGCATCCACAGGACTCTTACCTGACCAGGGGCCCCAGTGCCAGGCAGACAGACCAGCCAGGATCAGGAGCAGCAAGACGGGCACCACCACGAGCAGCACGTCTTTGTAGGAGGCCCTCCCTGGAGCTGGACATGGAGGCGACACGGTCATGGGGGGACCGGAAGCTTCACCACCCCTCAACCACGGCTCCCCTGCCCTCGGCATACCTGCCTGGCGGTGGCAGCTCTCCCAGGGGATGACTGTGGCCAGGTCCCAGCTGACGGGGTTGGAGACAATGCAGGAATAGGCCACGCCTTTGTCTCCCGGCCCCAGTGACACTCTCAGCACCTGTCCATCCGTGAAGAGGCCACCCGGCTCCATAGCAGGGTCCACAGCTCCCTCCCGTCGCCAGCTATAGGTTATGTCACTGATGTTGGGAGCCCAGCAGGACAGGAACGCTTGGCAGGTCTTGGGGGGCTGAGCTTCCCCTGATACAGCAATGAACACTTTGACCACGGGTCTGGGCACTGCATCTGGGCAAGAACAGCAGACCCAACACGGGTTAAAGGGATGCTGTGCGTGCGGATCCCACAGCTCCAGCTCTGGGATCCATGCAGGGCGAGAAGCTGCTTCTGACAAGTCTCTCCAAAACCTTGTCTTTCTCCCACTGCCCACAGGACAGAAGCTGAATTCCTAAGTCTGGTATTTAACATCCTTCATCAAATAGTTGATGTCAACCTTTCCAGCTGTACCTCCTGCTGATCCCCTCCTTACCCATCTCGATTAATTTCCTGTTCTCCAAATGGGTCATGCTCTTCCATAGCTTCCATCTGGCTCAGCTGTACACATATGCCTTTTGTTTCTCATCCTTCTAGAAAACTCCTACCCATCCTCCAAGGCCCAGTGTGGACACACTCCCTACTGCTCTGATCATGAAGCCTTCCCTGATATTCCAGGTGTAGCTCTGAGCCTTCCAAGCACTTGTGTATCCCTCTGTGTGTCACAGTGTTTCCCTGATACACGGTACGTCAGTCAGAGAGACAATAAGCATTTATTAAGGTAGGCACAAAAGCAAACAGACTCCTGGACTTTTGGAGTGTGGTGAGCAAGACATGCTAACGAGCGGTTATGAATAGGAAAATTATTACAAGAATGCAAAGTGCTGTGAAGGAGCGGACAAGTGGGTAGAAGCTCTGCCTTGTTCTTTCCATAACCTCACTCTCAAGGCGCTCGGCTACCCGGGCCACTGGCCAAATTGGTGTCCTGGGGTCCAGACCATGGCTCCCTTCCGCCATATTGGTTGATGAGTAGATCATGAGTCTCATGGCAATAAGTGCCGGTGGGAGACCATTCTGAAGATAACGGGAGGGCTGTCTCTGACAGCGTTCCAGAGTCAAGCAGAGTAAAACCTCATTAATGCCAGCTCAGTCTGGTGGGATTTGTGATATGAAAAAAGAAAAGATTTGCTGGGTGCGCTAATAGTATAAACAAAGATTACAGGGGGGGATATTTACACTACTTAAGAGGACAAGCTGCATCCAAACATGATCAGGCACAGTAGAAACACCCATTGACATTTCTGGTAACTGATCTGCTAATTCAAATCATTCTCATCCATTGTCAAAGCAGAGCTCCTAAGGACGGCTGCTTGGCAGCTTTGTGCAATTAGTTCTAATCACGCTATGTATTTGGAAGCAATAAAACAGCAATTTCCTTAAAATCTGTAATTCAGATGCTGAGAACAAGGCATTTGAGAGCTTAGTGGTGTGGGTGCCGCATGTATTATCACATTCCGCGTCCTTATTTCACATGTGCGGCAGCTGAGACTCAGAACAGGGGAGAGACTCCCTGGCTGCCTGTATGGTTGTGAAGGTTGTTCACTGAGCAAGAGCTTTGGGCTCAGGGGTAACAGGTAGGAGGAGGGTGTTGAATTTCAGCCAGAACTTGGCTTGCCAAACTGTGCAGCCTGGGTCAGGGCAGTGGGCATCCATTTGGTCGTACGCTAGCAGCCCAAGGGGCTCACTGAGTGATGACCTGGTTATCTCCCTCTGGGCATGGGAGGGTCTCCCAATTTGCCATCTCCTCTCCCTCCCTCAGTGTTTCCTTTTGCCCAGCTCTCACTTCTACTCTCCATTCTTTTAGTGGGACCTTTCCTTTTCCCTGTTTCTGTCCAAATTTCTGAGGTTTTACTAAAATAGGGGTCACTGACACATCTTTTCCAAGCCACTAGATAGATGAATAGGAGCTCAAAGGCCATTTTATCTTGACGGGCAAAAATATGGTGGCTGTGTAGAGGTGGAGGCAGTGATGGTGGGACAGGTGATGGTGAGGGTGATAGAGAGGGGGGTAGAGGTGGAGATGGTGATGGTGGGACAGGTGATGGTGGGGTGATGGAGAGGGGAATAGAGGTGGAGGTGGTGATGGTGGGACAGGTGATGGTGGGGTGATGGAGAGGGGGTAGAGGTGGAGGTGGGATGGTGGGACAGGTGATGGTGTGGTGATGGAGACGGGGGAAGAGGTGGAGTGCTGATGGTGGGGTGATGGAGAGGGGGTAGAGGTGGAGGCAGTGATGGTGGGACAGGTGATGGTGGGGTGATGGAGAGGGGCATAGAGGTGGAGGTGGTGATGGTGGGACAGGTGATGGTGAGGTGATGGAGAGGGGGTAGAGGTGGAGGTGGGATGGTGGGACAGGTGATGGTGGGGTGATGGAGAGGGGGTAGAGGTGGAGGTGGGATGGTGGGACAGGTGATGGTGGGGTGATGGAGAGGGGGTAGAGGTGGAGGTGGGATGGTGGGACAGGTGATGGTGGGGTGATGGAGAGGGGGTAGAGGTGGAGGTGGGATGGTGGGACAGGTGATGGTGGGGTGATGGAGAGGGGGGTAGAGGTGGAGGTGGTCATGGTGGGACTGGTGATGGTGGGGTGGTGAACGTGGTTATGTGGTGGTGGTGGCTGTGATGGTAGTGGCTCTGATGGAGGTGGAGGTGGATTTGCTGGAAAGAAATACTCATCCATCCCCCAGTGGATTCAGTCAAACCAGCTGAGGTGCTGAGAGCTACTTTACGAATGACCCTACCAAACCCAGGTAGAGCAGAGGAGCTGCTCAGCTGAGCCCCACCAACTCAGAGTCATGAGAAATAAAAGGAGTTGTTGTTTTTAGCCAGAAAATTTGGGGATGGTTTATTTTGCAACAATACATAATAAAGAGAACCCACGAATGATATAAATTTAAAATCTCTCAATACAGCTAAAAGCGTTCTTTAAAGAGATATGAAATAATTCTATACTTTAATTAAAATTGAATTTTTAATTTAAAATGTGTCATAGTTTCATTGTAATATTTATGTCTCTTTTCTGTGGTGCATAAAATAATGGCACATCTTATAACTTGATATCTTAGAACTGATGACTTGAAGGCTAAAGAACCCGCTTGCCAATGCAGGAGATGTAAGAGACGCGGGTTCAGTTCCTGGGTTGGGAAGATCCCCTGGAGGAGAGCATGGCGATACACTCCAGTATTCTTGCCTGGTGAATCCCATGGACAGAGGAGTCTGGTGTGATCCATGGGATCGCAAAGAGTCAAACATGACTGAGGGACTTGGCCCCCCCACACACGCTAGCCTCTATCCTAGATGCTGTCTCAGCTGATTTTACCTTTATTGGCATTTACATGGTAATATTACTATGCTGGTTTTACAAGTGAGAACGGTCAGTGTCAGGCAGCTAAGTATTGTGTCTAAGGCTACTGAGATAAGAAGACAGAGGGAGAGTTCTAACCAGGGCTGTCCCACCGGTGGCAAAGCCTGGCTGCCCCAGCCAGAAACTCACGTGGGAGAGCCCCAGGAGTTTTCTTACCTGTGGGCGTGGGGGAGCAACTGTTCCCTGAATCAGCCGTGAGGTCAGAGGCCAGAGGTTTCTAGAACTCCGCTCTCCCCAGTTCCCGGGACTCCAGATGCCTTTCCGGAGTTGGATGGGAGGGCGTGGGGCAGAGGGTCTGCGTCAGGCACACTCACCGTACACCTTGAGCTGCAGGGTCTGGCTCCGGGCCCGACCTTGCTTGTCCACTAGCAGCACGGAGAAGTTGCCGCTGTCTCCAGGCTCCAGCGGGCGCAGCTCCAGGCTGAGGTTGCTGTGCAGCTGGGCTCGGCCCAGGAAGCGCGAGTGGTACAGCGTTTCTGGGGAGCCCCGGAAGAACGTGGCCAGGAGCTCCTCTGAAGGCCAGAGGGATCTCCAGATGGCCTCTCGGACTTGGAAACCGGGAGGGTGATCTGCCGCCAGCAGCGCTGAGCCGCCCACCTGGCCCTGCACTTGGGCACTGGCGATGGCCATGGGAAGCAGTGCTGAAAGGACAGAGCCCCGTCACTCTGCCTGCACCAAACCGTCCCTCTCTCTGCACTCAGCTGAGCTGTGATGGAGCAGATGGCCCTTCTCTCCATGCCCCCTCCACCCAAGCTGAGGGTGCACTGTGCCAGGGCCTGGGAATAAAGCAGCGAGGAAGGAATTCGGTCCCTGTGCTCATGGAGCTCTGACTCTTAAGAAAGCAGTCTGCCACAATGGCAAAAAGGGGTGCCCTGGGAGAACATGGGTAGGGTGATAGGCTGAACTTGCCTGGCCTTGAGGAGCTCAGGGAAGCGAAGGTTAAGTTCAGACTTGAAAGAGGAATGGGAATTGGCCAAGCCAAGCAGAGGGCAGCCTGCAGTGGGGATTGGGAAGTGTTAGAGGCCGAGGAGCAGGGCAAACAAGGGCCCGGAGGGTGAGCGAGCTCAGTGCACCAAGGGAACTGAACGTAGTTCTCTGCAGGGGGAGTGAGAAATTGCACTGCAGCGTCTGCAGGAGCCAGGTCCTGCAGGGCCCCAAAAGCGACTCTGGAGTTTGGGCTTTATCCTTAGAGTGATGGGGAGCCTCGGATAGGCTTTAAGTAAGTGAGTGACATGATTAGATCTATGGTTAGAAAGACAACTCCCGCAGAGGTATGGAGGATGCAGGGGACGTGGGGTAAGAGTAAGGCTTTGGCTACTAATCCCAAGGAGGGTGATGGAAATGTACCATGGAAGGGAGCAATGAGGATGGGCAAAAGTGGGAGGGATGACCTGGGCTTAAGGTGTGTAGTCAGTGGGACCTGGTAACAAATTAGATCTGGGAGTGAGGGAGTGAGGAGTCAAGGATGGCTCCCAGGTCCTCGGGACCCACTGGGTACCATTCTCCATGATCCAGAAGAGAAGGAGAAATAGAATGGACGTGAGATGGCAAGAGGCTGTTTTGTTGGGAACACACCACGTTCGATGTGTGTGGGTGACACCTCTGTTTGAATTCCCACTCTGACTCATTTGCTGGCTGATTTCTGCTCATCCTTGAAGCACTCCCGCCTCCCCAACCTCCCCTATTCCTCACTGCTGTTTACAAACTCTTTGTGTTCTTATAGCAGCCCCTGGGGCCACCTCTACAAATGCTCTTATCCCTCTATGTTACCGCTTGTTTACAAGTCCCATGAGACCCTGAGTTCCTCTTCTGATCTTTGGGCTCCCCGTGACCAGTGCTGTTTAGGAAGAGGATGCAGGAGAAGGCAGCATGATGAAATTGGCGAGGACTTCCTTTGTGCCTGACTCAGGGGTGGGCGCAGGGGTGTAGAGCAGAATAAGTGCAGATAGGGAACATAACCAAGTGTTGGGAGGTTGGTTAGGAAGACGTATTCTGGATGACCACTCAGTCAGCCACTGTAACTCCAGTCCCCAGTCCATCTCACTGCCCTAACAGCCCCAGGCACCTCAGTCCGAACTGGGGATGGCTCCAGAGTTAATGCACATTGGAGATGCCACATCCAGAGAGCACAGCATTGGATGTCAGTCAAGACTCCTGTTCTATCCTACTCTAGCTCTGCCATGAATGAACTGAGCAATCTTCTGGGGCACTCTCCTCCCTTCTGTCATCCCATCCAGAAAACAAGGGGGTCCATTCAGTCAGTGGTACTTTCACCACTCAGAAAAATTATTTTAGCTTCCCAAGTCCAAGGATTTGAAAGATTTTCGAACCTAACAGATTCCCTCTTTGGGGCAGGACTTCCTTCACATGTTTAGAAATGTTGACACTTGCAGATTTTTGGAGCCAGGAACTCAGGTGGGAAACCCAGACAAAGTCGTCTCAAAGGCCCTGTGAGTCTCTGATGCCAGCAGAAGAGTCTTGAGTCTTTGCTGCACCCCACGACTCTCATCCCCTGGCCTAGCACTGCTGGCCTTTGTCACACTGACCACTTGTTGACCAATCAGGGGTGGGAGGGGTGTCAGGCATCAGATAGGATTCAAGGGGTGTCACCCAGTGTTGAGGAGACCTGAGGTCTCTTCTGACCTCACACTGTTATTGGCCACCCGGAAGCTGCATGCACTGTATTAACTTGCTTTTGCCTCTTACCCTCCTCGGTGTCCACTTCCACAGACCTTGGGGTGGGGGCTCAGTTCTCCCACAGGCAGCTGGAAAGACATCCTTAGACTGCAAGAGCCCCACTCTCCCCTGCTCCCTTCAGACCATATTCAGAATGCTGCCAGACCCTCACGTTCTCACCACCATATCTAACAAAACCAATGGTCCTACCAGCTTCAATTTTAACCTCCCTGGACCACAAAACAGCTCATGTCTCATGGACACAGAGGCTCCTTGTGCTTCCACCCTTCTTCCCAAGATCCTGTGTCTCTTTACCCCTGCCTGGCTTTCAAGGCTGCCCAAGAACTTGCTTCCATCTTCCCTACCCCTTCTCAGCTCCTGGGTTCTCTCTTGGAATGGGGAGGGGCCTTCAGTTCTCTGAGGCTAGGTCTGCCCCACTTACCTTCCCAGAGAAGCAGACTCCACAGAGACCACACAGCCATACTTCAGCGAGGCAGACAAACTCCCTCGACAACCCAAATCCAGAATATCCCAGGTCAAGTGGATGCACGGAAGGAGCTGTGGTCCTTCTGGAAAGTCCCATGTTCAGAAGGAGGAATCTTGACTCAGAACAAGATGCCCCAAAAGTAAAAATATCCAGAGGAAAGTGGAAGTTGGCCTCAGACTTAGCTGGGCTCTTTCAGGAGCCAATTCTTGTAAGTCAGCCTCTTTCAAATGCCTATGGTTAGCTAAGGCAGACGGCAAACGCCCCCGCACAAGCCAACATCCTCCCCACTGACTCTCTCGCTGGGCAGCCCCGCATCCCACTCTGCCTGGCTGCCCCTGCCTTTCCTGTTGAGGCCACGGAAACCCCTGTAAACTGCAATTCCCCTTGTCACTTCTCTGCTTAAAATTCTTCCATGGCCTCCAGCTATCCTCAGGATTAAGACTAAACTGTTGGCTTAGGACACAAGGCTCTCCTAAGTCCTACTCCAGCCTGCTTCTCCAGCCTGGCATCCCATGCCCTTCTGCCCTCCAACCACACCAAGCTACCTCTTGGTGCTACCTCTTCTCAGAACTGCCAATTCCACACTTTCACATTGTGCCCGATCCTCCACCAGGCAAGCTGTTCCATCCACCCTCCTGGACTTGCTGTGGTTATGTGGGCTATGCAGCTGACCGGACTGCCATTCAGGGCTTCCTGACCACAGGCAGTGTGGGGAACCTTCCCTTCTGTGTGCTCAGGGCATGCCTGGTCTTCTATTATCACTCTCAACACATTGTCCTGTAACAGTTTTCTCATCTCCATAGACTATTTACCGCCAAGGTCTCATATTCATTTCTGTGTTCCCCTTGGTGCTGGGAAAGTCACGAATGTTTTGGTGTTTAGTTGCTAAGTGGTGTCCTATTCTTTGTGATCCTATGGATTGTAGGCTGCCAGGCTCCTCTGTCCATGGGATTTCCCAGGCAACAGTACTGGAGTGAGTTGCCATTTCCTTCTCCAGGGGATCTTCCTGAGCCAGGAACCGAACCCACGTCTCTGCGTCTCCTGCATTAGCAGGCGGTTTCTTTACCACCGCACCACTGGGATATGAGTCCAGACCTTAATGGATGCTTATTGAGTATTTGTTAAATGAGGGCATGAATTCTAGAGATGGTCACATATTTTGCTTCCTGAAAGACCTACAACTCTTCTTTGAGAGGATCTGATTATCTCCCTGTTAGAGATGGGGGAGTTTGAAGACCAGAAGGAGGTTAGCATCTTTCCGGGGTCGAAGCAGAGCTGTGAGCTGATCTTCAGCCTTTGGAGCATGGTCCATTCTGCCAGTCACCCCATCCTCACTACCTTTATCTTTTCACTTCTGAAGGTTCTTGGTTTCTTGAGTCAAGGAAGGATTTGCAAGAAGATAAGGAAGATCCCTGAGCTTTCTGAGTGTGGCTTGTGGTAGCTAGTCCTGCCTAGCTTCTGACCTGTCAGTCAAATTGGATGCTCTGCTCTGGACCAATAAGGAGGCGGATGTGGTGGCGGATGAGCAGGAGGATTCTGGGACAGGCTTCCAGCCCTCCAGGTACTCACCACCGAATGGTAGGAATAGCATATGCCTAGGAAGGGAAGACCCACAACGGACAGACATGGGTCTGGGCAAAAGAGCAGCACAAATAGCCTACCCCACGCGATCCAATGGACTGTAGCCCACCAGGCTCCTCTGTTCATGGAATTCTTCAGGCAAGAATACTGGGCTGGGTTGTCATTTCTTTCTTCAGGAGATCTTCCTGACCCAGGAATTGAACCTTGGTCTCCCACATTTTGAGCAGTTTCTTTACCATCTGAGCCACCGTGGAAGCCCCTGGTGAGCAGGGGCTGCTTCCTTAAAACGAGGAATTTGAGCTGCATCTTGAATATGGACCTACTTTGGATAGGCTGAGAAAACAGGGTGGGCCAGAGGTTGGGGTCGGGGTGGGGCTCTGAGCATGAGGGGAGAGCAGTGTGTAAGGCTTGATGGTGGGGAGGTCCCAAGTAGGCTCCAGGGACAAGGAAGGACCAGAAGGGGAATCCTCTAAGGCTGCTGTGGGTAAAATGGAAAGGGAGGTTGGGGGTCAGATTGTGGGGGCTTTGAGTATGGGGTTAAGTTTAGGCTTTTACTCTGGAGACCAGCAGTTCTCATCCTTGCTAAAAACTTGGGTTCTCAGGGATTCTGTTTAGTGGGGCTGCGCTGGGTCCCGGGAGCCTGTTGTTTTAACAATCACTGCATTCTGGGTGGTTCTGAGCTGGTGTATGGAGGGAGCTCTGGGAAGCACTGCTTGGAAGGAGGGGGCTGCTCGTTACCCACTTTTGGCTAGCTTGCTAGTGGGAGGATGGCATGCAGGGTTGATTGCTGTTGTTCTTGAGTTGCTAAATCATGTCTGACTCTATGTGACCACATGGTCTGTAGTGCTCCTCTGTCTGTGGGATCTCCCAGGCAAGAGTACTGGAGTGGGTTGCCATTTCCTTTCCCAGGGGATCTTCCCAACCCAACCCAGGGATGGAACCCGCATCTCCTGCGTCAGCCGGAGGATTCTTTCCCGCCAAGCCACCAGGGAAGCCTATAGGCACAGAAGCAGAGGATGGTTTCGATCCATTAACCCTTGGGTTAAGGGCCCAGCGCACTTTCACTGTACCACTCTGCTACCTCAGGGCTGATCGGGGAGAAAAAAGAGGCAGGGTGGCCTGGGTAGCAGCTGTTGTGATCATCCCGACTGAAGTAGAAAGGAACCCTCGAGGGAGGAAGGGGCAGAGCTGGAGTCATGATGGAACTAACTCTCACCTGCCTATAGGCAGAGAGGTCAAAGGAGGGGCTCCGCTGTGCGTCTCCACTGTCAATTCCCTCATCCATGTGTCAGACGTTTATTGAGCATCTCCTTACGTGCCAGGTGCTGGGGACACAGACATGAAAGGCACAGCCCCTGCCCTCAAGGAATCTGCAGTTTAGATGAGAAGATGGGCATGTAACCCAATAATTACGATCGGTGTGGCCAGAGCAAAGCCAGCTGTGCGCACAGCACGCTATGGCAGCCAGAGGGTGGACGGACAGGAGCCAGCAGGGTGGGCGGGAGGCTGGCAGGGCCCTGTGGAGCCAGGGTGGTGATTGAGGTGAGCCTTAGGATAGGCCTTAACTCAAGCTCTGGGGTCGGGTTTCGTGGGTTCAGATCTCGGCTGTGAAACGAGCAAAGTGACTGCTCTGTGTTTGGCATCTTCGTTGATGAAACAGAGATTAATAACAGTATCTTCATCTTCATGGAGCCCTCAGGGGGAAACCACTTAGAATGGGGTCTGGCGCATAGTCACGTGAAATAAAGAATGTTGCCCACCATCCAGTTCTACAAGAGTGAAGTTGTTGGCTATTGCAGTTGTTACCCTGAAAGGAATTCAGGGTGACAATCAGGATGAGGCCCTCTGTGCTCTGGGGAAACAGGTGGAACAGGCCCTCAGATATATTGGGAGAAAATTTTATGAACCCTATTTCTTGCATCTTCCCATACTTAGAAAAGCAATAAAATCATTAACTAAGATGGCTGTGCCTCATGCCTAGCAGCAACCTTCTACCAAGGTGTGTGCTGGATTGCACGTACCCCTTCTCCCAAACCACATATATGCTGACCTCCCCTAACCTCTTCGGAGCAGCTTCTCAGAGCAGCTGGAGAGGCTGTCTCCTGGGCTTTAGTTCTCAGTGAGTCTCCAAATAAAGCGGAGGCTCTTAGCTCTCACATTGTGCAATTCAATTTCAGCTGATAGTCTGCACTCAAAAAAATTAACCATTGTCACTACGCTGCCGGAGAGAGGGAAGGAGGGCTGGGCAAGTAGTGGAGTGTTGAGGTCCGAGCAGCCCTGCTCTAACTGTCTTCTCCCAGACTGCGAGCTCCTGAGAGTGGGGATCAGGCCCCTTCATGTCTGCACCCTGTATATCACCAAGGACAGGCTTTCTACCAAGTGGTGCCCTCCAAACAGGTGTTGAAGCGGATTGAATGATTCCGAAGTGTCAAGGCCAGGTCTGGGGAGGCCCTGGGGTGCAGGAGTCTGGCCAGCTGAATTCCCTTGGGGGAGACAGTGGGCAGTCACACTCCCTCTTAGCATAAGGAGTGATCGATAGTGGTCCCTCCCAGCAGGACATGAGTTGCTGTCTCCAGTACACCAGCTCTTTATCTTGAGGGGGATTTCGGGGTGGGGGGCTGAGAAAGTGGGGAGGAGGAGTTTGGGTGAGGACCTGAAAATATCCCACGCACCTCCCCTCAAAGAACTTCTAGCAGCCCTGAGATGATGGGAGCAGAACCGACTGATGAAGGCACAGGAAGGGTTAAGTCGTGGCGGCAGCTTCTCCCCCCACTGCTAATCACTGGTTCAGACCACATTAATTACCCAGCCACAGGGGGAGTGCGCGGAGTAAATTAACTGCTGAGTTCAAAGGGGCCACTCCCCACATTTCTTAATTAAGAGAGCAGCTGGCAGCCTGCTCTGCGCTCGGCCTCCCTAGGGCCTTTCAGGGAAACCCGAGCGGCTGAGTCCGCTTCCGCCTCTGCCCAGGCCCCGGGCGGGCAGGGTAGCCCCGTCTGCCAGGTGGGGTGGTCTGTACTCCGCCTTCACTGTGGGCTGGGGCGCCTTTACTGTGGGCTGGGGGTGGGGGGCCGGGGGGAGCAGGTGTGCACCGTGGGGGTGGAGGGAGCAGGTGTTAACTGTGGCTCATCTGAGCCCGCAACCCTCAGCCCTGAGAGCAGATTCCAGGTCGGCTGGTGGTGCAGATTCAGGGTGGGGTGTAACTGGATGCAGTGTGAAGGGTGGCCCAAGCGATGCCCTGTCCCTGCCTGCTGGCACTTGTTCTTCTTCTTGGACTGGCCTTAGGGCAGAACGGCGTCGCCCCCTCCCCCCCTCCCCGACCCCCCACCGCCCCCTCCCCGCACCGGGAGACAAGTGGAATAGGGGAGGGGGAAAGGTAGACTGTTTGAGAAGAGAAGGGAGCTGGCAGAGGAAGGGCAGGTTGGAAGCGGTGGGGGGCCTTTAGAGGCTTTTGGAATGCAAGGAAGAAAGCAGGGTGTTCCTGCGGGGGGGGGGGTGGGTCTCTGGGCACTGCTTCTTTTTTAAAAAAAATTTATTTATTTATTTTAATTGGAAGGTAATTACTTTAGAATATTGTGATTGTTTTTGCCATACATCAACATGAATTGCCATCGGTATATATGTGTTCCCCCCCACCCCCATCCTGAACCCCTTCCTCTTCCCTCCCCACTCTGTCCCTCCAGGTTGTCCCAGAGCACTGGATTTGGGTGGGCACCACTTCTAAGCAGGATGGGGCTGAGGGGCAGGTGGAACCCCACCTGAGCCCTGTCTGGGTCCACGTTCACCTATACGGTTCCCACAGAGTGGGCCAGCGGCCTGCACCATCTGCCAGCTGATGCCATGGCAGCCCCAAAGGCTGCCCTGGCCAGGGGGCGTGCTGCATGCCCACCTCCCCTGGCAGCCGGCTTGGTCAGTGGCGCTGCCCTGTCGGGGAGACGAGGTTTGAGGCAGTGTGTGCACAGGTGAAGTGGACACATCCTACTTCCCCTGAGAGGACACTCTAGTGTCTGCCCGGCCCAGGGATGGCTTCTGCTTCAGTATTTGTGCCCAGGGCACCTCTGCTGCCTCACCCTCATCCTGGCCCTGCTGGGAGTTGGTAGAGGGAATGGGCCCTTCGCTGGGCCAGGGGCCTGGTGCTCACAGCTGGAAGTGGGCAGACTAAGGAGAGGGAGGAAGAGGGAGCCTATGAAACAGCTCTCAGGATTGGGGCAGGGGCCTGGGGCTTCAGCAGGCAGGGCCTGCTTTTGAGGCAAAGACATACTTTCCCAGAGGGTGGAAGAAAGATGGCACAGGAAAGCAAGCAATCTGTGCCTGTGCCGTGTTGAAGCAGAGCAGGGGAGGAAGGAGACTCATTTCCTCACTCACTCGCTTACACAGTGCTTGCTGGGTTCCCATGGTGTGCACATGAGTGTACTGAGCAAAGGTTTGCCCAGTATCTAGCATGAGTAAGCCCTGTGAGGTCAGGAACACAGGCTGATGATGACAGCGGTCATGCTCCTGAGCATGACAGGAACAGTCACTGCTGATCTGCACGCCACATGGGAGAGAATTCCAGAAACAGGTGCAACAGAGGCTCTTCATTCAGAGTGATGTGTGCTGAAGGAGCAGCCTTGGCGACGCTCCAGGTCTGCCAGATACACCTTCTTCCGGCCGTGGAGACAGAGATACAACGTGGGGAAGCCTGGGTCTTTCCCATGCTGTGCCCCTTGTCTGTACTTACTGTCGTCACAGTTGAGACAAAGATGAAGGACACAGAAATGTTTAGTGGGTGCTAATTTAAGTAAAAATGTCGGGGGTCTATTTCCTAGTCAAATTTAAAGTAACCTGGAATTGAAAAATTCCAGCATGTGCAACCTGCCTGGTTCAGGGAAGGGCTGTGATCAATTTTTATTGTTCATATCTAAATGGTGTAGCCACATACAAAACAAGGGTGGGGAATTGAATGAGAGCTAACAAGGAAGTCGTCCAATGAATGGGTCAGACCACGGTGTAGGAGGCTGTGCAAGTCCCGGGTGCCCCGGGAGGACCACTAGGGGGCAGCCCCGAGGCTCCTGGTTGTCCTCTTCACCTTAAGGGCCGCTCCAGACGGCCTCTCTGTCCTTATGCGGGCTAAATTCTCTTACCCTGTGAGTGACGTGACCCCATAGAGCCCAGGTCCCTAGATGAGGCACAGCTAACTCACCCTTGCTGGAGAAGTGTTTGCATTTAGCTCTGACTCGGAAAGAAAAATAATGTTTCCTGTTTCAGAGCCTTGATTGAGCAGGGAGGCTGCTGTGGGCCTTCCTAAGGGGAGCAGCACTGCAGCAGGCTGTGGGATCCCTTCTGCAGGGTATGGCCCTCCCTAGGCACTGGTCCTTCCACCCCTGCCCACCAGCATCCTCTGGGAACAGAAGCAGGTACCTCCTCTGAGAACTGGAGATGGGATTTGGGGCTGGATGTGTTGGTATTAGGGCTTCAGGTGTCACCAGTGGTAAAGAACCTGCCTGCCAATGAGGAGACAAAGGAGACTTGGTTTCGATCCCCGGGTCGGGAAGATCACCTGGAGGAGGGCATGGCCACCCACTCCAGTATTCTTGCCTGGAGAATCCCGGGGACACAGGAGCCTGGTGGGCTACAGTCCACAGGGCCACACAGAGTCGGACACGACTGAAGCGATTTGGCGTGCATGCACTCACATGTGCTGATATTAGGCAAGCCAGGAAGAGTCTGGGCTGAAGAGTGTGGGTTTCCTCTAAAAGCTGTATTTTCTCTATGTTCTTTTGGGAATTCTCTTTTCCTTCGCTTCTTTTAGTAATTGTTCATTTTGGAAAATTCTAGCTCATTGTCTTACAAATTAAGAGTCTGAGGCGACAGCAGAGTCTGAGACACACCAGGCCAGCAGGGTGTGCGTGTGTGAGTGTGTGTGTGTGTGTGTGTGAGAGAGAGAGAGAGAGAGATAACTCCTCACATACCTGAGTTGAAGGACCCGTTTTTCTTTATTACTCCCAATCCACTGTGGAGCCATACTTCTGGACAATACCATAAAAACGAATTACTAAAAAAACACTGAAAGAGAGGTATAAAACACAAGCCCTCGTTTTAATGATTATATTAAGAAAACATAAAATTACTCTTATCAGATTGCAATAAAAGTTCCTAAGTCCTTGTTGTCAATTGTTCTATCATCTTACCTGGACTGGTAAATTCAATTCACAGACAGACCCCAGGAGTGGACCGGGAGCGGGTGTGGGCAGGGGGGGAGGATATGAAAGCTCAGGAAGGATGTAGTGATGACGAGGGCTGGCTCCTTCCCGTCCCCATCATCACGGTTCCCTCCGTGAGCTGTCCTATCTACGTTTTGACTTTTTAGAAGGGGGTGACTCGTTTACAGAGGGCCTGGTAAGGGAGTAGGCTCGGGGGGAGGGTTAATTCCTGATGGACCGGTGAAGACCCTGCACTTCTGGATGGCGTGTGCCTCTCAATGATCCTGGCTGAATCAACGAGGCAAAGGGGAGGGGACCCTGGTGTATTCCGGCTGTGGACTGGACGGGTGATGAAAGAGACAGAGAATCAGGAAGAGCAAGACCTGGGGTGGGAGGAGGCAAGGGAGAACAGGCAGTAGACAAGCGAGAGAAAAGGGCTGGCCTGGGTTGCCTTACCCGCTGTCTTCTCCCAGAGGACAACTACAAGCAATTAAGCTCCCAAAGGCAAGTGGACTGATTTACTTCCACGAAGTATGTATTTTGGAGGTAGACCAGGCTTTTAAAACTTTGATGTACATGCAAATCATCTGCCTGGAGATCTTATTGAAATGTAGGTTCTGATTCAGCAGGTCTGGGTGTCTGCATTTCTAATAAACTCAAGGGGAAATGATAGAAGTTTGCAGCTCTGAGGGCCAGGAGTTCTCTGAACATAAATTTCTTGCTAGGAGAGGAGGGTGCCGGTTCTGGTAACTCAGACCCCAGTCTCTGTGATTCCAGTGCAGGGGCCCACGAAGCAAATATATATTAATAACTAACCTTCATTGACCCTGCTTCCTCTGTGGCTCAGATAATAAAGAACTTGCCTGCAATGCAGGAGACCTAGGTTCCATCCCTGGGTTGGGAAGATCCCCTGGAGAAGGAAATGGCAATCCACTCCAGTATTCTTGTCTGGAGAATTCCATGGACAGAGGAGCCTGGTGGGCTACAGTTCATGGGGTTGCAGGTCAGACACGACTGAGCGACTTCACTTTCACTTTGTTCATTGACACCAACTCAATGGACATGAACTTGGGCAACTCCAGGAGCTGGTGAGGGGCAGGGAGGCCTGGCATGCTGCAGTTCATGGGGTCGGAAAGAGTCGGACACGACTTAGCAGCTGAACAGCAGGCTTCATTGAACACTCTGGATGAGGACTGCATTGACTCCCCTCCTTTCCACCCCTCTAGTCCTTCCTCTTCCTCACCCTCCCAACTCTCTCATTACCAGGCCAGTTCACACGCAGTCCATTCTCCTTGAATAAACCAGACCAAATAATCAGGCAGCCCAATGATCGCTACTGATGGACAGTATGAAACAAATTGATACCCCTTTATTAACAAGTAGATCTACAACCATGTATCCTTTTGACCACTAAGGGATAAAGGAGTTTTCTCATGTGTTCTACAAACGGGGGTGCTTGCTGCTAGGTTGGGGAACTGGAAGACACAGAAGAGGCTGGGGTTCCCTGGCCTCCGGGGGCGCCCTGGGGGCTGCGGAGGTGTGTGTGTTGGGGCTGGGGGATGGCGTTGCTAGCAGAGGGGCTCCTTGCAGTCACTGGTAGGACCTCAGTGGGTCCTGCTTCTTCTATTTGGCCCCTTGTCTGGACCCTCGCTGCGCTGCGGGCGTCTCACCTCAGCATAGATGACGGAAACCTCCTGCGGGAGAGTGGGGTCAGGGTAAGGAAGCCGACGTCACACAGAGGAGACAAGAGCTGGAGCCCCATCTCACCTTGTCCTGCTGGGCTGGCTGGGCAGGCCTGGCTGTGGGGGAAGAGCAGCATTCAGGTTAGGGCCCTGGGCTCACGGGGTGTCCCCTTCCCACCTCCTCGCTGCCACCTTCCTCTAGAGAACACGGGCTGGCAGGGTCCGGGCTGCTCCCCGGTCACTTCTCAGGGCCTCTCGCCCTCAATCTGAAAACAGGTGGAGTCAGGAGACCCCAGATGTGCAACCTGAGGCCACTTACTTGGCCTCTGAGCCTCAGCTGCTTCCTCCAGGGAAGGGTGGTGGTGATGACCGTGACTGCCTCATAGGATCCCAGCGAGAAGCAGGGGAGATGAAGGTCTCCAAGATACTTCTAGAATAACTCCTCCATTAGACACCTGTTCTGCATGGGGCAACCTTTTAGGTGTGAGAGTGATATATCTAGTCTATCTAGTATGTAACAAACAGAGGTCTAATTCTACATCTCTAATCTCACATCAGTCCTGTCTAGCAGGGGGTATCGGTTCCTTCTCGCATGGAGATGAGAAAAACCGAGGCTCAGCGAGGTGAATAACTCTCCACAGTCACTTCCATAAGAAGTAGTCTGTGCTAAATCGCTTCAGTTGTATCTGACTCTTTGCGACCCTATGGACCATGTCCTTCCAGACTCCTCTGTCCATGGGGTTCTCCAGGCAATAATAAGAATATTGAATCTTAGAGAATGTGAAGCATTCTCCCACTGACAAAAATTCCAGTATCTTGGAGCATAAGGGCTCTCTTTCCTTTGGGTTTCAGATCCCTGCACCCACCATCAGGTAAAACCTGTTCAGAGCTTGAGTTGGAAACAGACCATCCCCACCCCCACCCCCACCCCTGCCTTCATCTTTGTTGTCTGCAAAGATTAAAGGATCCCATTTCCTCATTTCCCTTATTTTGCTCGTGAAAACCATATAGTCTGCAGTTGGCTTCTTTTTTTTTTTTTTTCTTTCTTATGTTTAAATCCTCATTGTGACTCTCCTCAGGAAGGAACTGTGCCCGCGTGGGCTTCCCATCTGCCTGGGCATGTTATGGCAGCAGCTGGTCAGGTCCCGAGGGAAGAGCCCTGTGTCCCAGAGACTCCTTGGCTTTCCACTTTCCCTAATGTGGGGGAAATGTGGCGATGGGGGAGCAGAGCCCCTAGACTGATTCAAACCCATTTTATAGACCAGGAATTGAAATCTCTGTACAAGTGAGACGTAAAAGAAAGCTCCCTGTTTTTCAACATCTATTGCATACCAGCCATTCTTTATGGTTTCTACAACCCAGGTTCTATTCCTAGTCATTCATAATAATTTTACAAAGTAGCCATTATCTGGGCTTCCCTGGTGGTGCATCAGTAAAGAGTCTGCCTGCAATGCAGGAGCCACAGGAGACTCAGGTTTGATCCCTGGGTGGGGAAGATCTCCTGGAGGAGGGCATGACAACCCACTCCAGTATTCTTGCCTGCAGAATTCCATGGCCAGAGGAGTCTAGTGGGCTTCAGTTCATAGGATCTCAGAGAGCTGGGCATGACTGAAGTGACTTAGCATGCACACATTCAGGCATTATCTATGTTATAGATTAGGCTCAGAGAGTTTATATAACTTTCTCACAGGCACACAGAATGCAGAGTCAAGTTCTGAACTCAATTCTGACTGACTCAGAAACTCACACTTTTCCCACAATTCCATGTTGCCTGTTTGTCTGTTTGAGAGAGGACTAGCCTTCCCCATTCTGCCATCCTCACTGTCATATCTGTGGCTGGGGTTCATGGTCTTTTTGCCTCCATCTTAGAGCTGGGACTGTACTGTTTAGACTTATATCTGGTGGCAGAGACAAACTATCATTCTTTTTCCTTTGTTCCTCCACAATGCTCAGAAAAGGGCAAACAAACAAACAAAAACCACCTCCCTAGTTGGGGTGGTCACAGTGAAGGTATGGTTAAGATGATGTTTATGATGGTGAGATCTGATAGAATGTCTGAAGAACTATGGACAGAGGTTCATGACATTCATGACAGGAGGCAGTGATCAAGACAATCCCCAAGAAAAAGAAATGCAAAAAGGTCTGAGGAGGCCTTACAAAGAGCTGAGAAAAGAAGAGAAGCTAAAGGCAAAGGAGAAAAGGAAAGATATACCCATTTGAATGCAGAGTTCCAAAGAATACCAGGGAGAGATAAGAAAGCCTTCCTCAGAGATCAGTGCAAAGAAATAGAGGAAAACAATAGAATGAGAAAGACTAGAGATCTCTTCAAGAAAATTAGAGATACCAAGGGAACATTTCATGCAAAGATGGGCACAATAAAGTACAGAAACTGTATGAACCTAGCAGAAATAGAAGATATCAAGAAAAGGTGGCAAGAATACACAGAGAACTATACAAAAAGATTTTGATGACCCAGATAACCGGTGGTGTGACCACTCATCTAGAGCCAGACATCCTGGAGTCCAAAGTCAAGTGGGCCTTAGGAAACATCACTATGAACAAAGTTAGTGGAGGTGTTGAAATCCAGCTGAACTATTTCAAGTCCTAAAAGATGATGCTGTGAAAGTGCTGCACTCAATATGCCAGCAAATTTGGAAAACTCACCAGTGGACACAGGACTGGAAAAGGCAGTTTTCACTCTAATCCCAAAGAAAGGCAATGCCAAAGAATGTTCAAACTACTGCACAATTGCACTCATCTCACACGCTAGCAAAGTGATGCTCAAAATTCTCCAATGCTCAAAATGCTTCAACAGTTCATGAACCGAGAACTTCCAGATGTTCAAGTTGGATTTAGAAAAGGCAGAGGAACCAGAGGTCAAATTGACAACATATGTTGAATCATCAAAAAAGCAAGAGAGTTCCAGAAAAATATCTACTTCTGCTTTATTGACTATGCCAAAGCTTTTGACTGTGTGGATCACAAAAAAATGTGGAAAATTCCCAAAGAGATGGGAATACCAGACCACCTGACCTGCCTCCTGAGAAATCTGTATGCAGGTCAAGAAGCAACAGTTAGAACTGGACATGGAACAACGGGCTGCTTCCAAATTGGGAAAGGAGTACGTCAAGGCTGTATATTGTCACCCTGCTTATTTAACTTATATGCAAAGTACATTATGCGAAATGCTGGTCTGGATGAAGCTCAAGTTGAAATGAAGATTGCTGGGAGAAATACCAATAACCTCAGATATGTGGATGACACCACTCTTATGGCAGAAAACAAAGAACTAAAGACTCTCTTGATGAAAGTGAAAGAGGAGAGTGAAAAAGCTGGCTCACAACATTCAAAGAACTAAGAACATGGCATCTGGTCCCATCACTTCATGGCAAATAGATGGGGAAACAATGGAAATAGTGACAGACTTTATTTCTTGGGTTCCAAAATCACTGCAGATGGTGAGTGCAGCCATGAAATTAAATGATGCTTGCTCCTTGGAAGAAAAGCTATGGGAAACCTAGATAGCATGTTAAAAAGTGGAGACATTACTTTGCCAACAAAGGTCTGTCTAGTCAAAGTTATGGTTTTTTCAGTAGTCATGTATGGATGTGAGAGTTGGACCATAAAGAAAGCTTTGCACCGAAGAAGTGATGCTTTTGAATTGTGGTGTTGGAGAAGAGTTTTGAGAGTCCCTTGGGCTTCAAGGAGATGAAACCAGTCCATCCTAAAGGGAATCAGTCCTGAATATTCATTGGAAGGACTGAAACTGAAGCTGACGTTCCAATACTTTTCCACCTGATGCAAAGAACTGACTCCTTTAAAAAGACCCTGATGCTAGGAGAGATTGAAGGCAGGAGGAGAAGGGGACAACAGAGGATGAGATGGTTGGATGGCATCAGTGACTCGATGGACATGAGTTTGAACAAGCTCCAGGAGTTGGTGAGGGACAGGGAAGCCTGGTGTGCTGCAGTCCACGGGGTTGCAAAGAGTCGGACACAAGTGAGCAACTGAACTGAACTGAACTGATTTTCGACATACTGGTGTTTGTGGTGATGGTGGTGGTGAAGTCGTGAAGGAGGAGGGATGGTGGTGGTGAAAGTGCCAGTATTTATGATGATGGTGGTCAGGGTGATGATGGTGGTAGTGATACCTCACCCTAGGCCCCAAACTTCTCCTTTACATTAGCAAACATGTCAAGGTTGGCCGGAGATCACTTACCTTCATGCTCTCTTGTGATTTTATAAATCTCAGAGTAGATAACTCCTTCATTGGTTTCATTCTGGCGATACACTGAAAGAAGGAATGCGGCTTAACTAGGACCCACCTGCTCTCCCACCTCGAGACCTAAGTGTTCCGAGGACGTGTGTGGAAAGGAGCCAATCAGGGTTGAGATGCTGATAACTGGCAGTGGGAAGGGGCCATTAGTGTGAGATATCTGGCTTGGCAGGAGGACTATGCCCCCTGGCGCAGGTTCTAGCAGTTTCCCCATCCCTAATATTGTTCAAGCTAGAGGTGTTTTTTTTTTTTTTTTTGTAAAAAAAGGTAGTGAACACATTAGTTTCTGCAAACTCCAGCTCTGTGGTATGAAAGCAACCATACACAATACATACCCAATGTTCCTTGCAAAATACTTGGTGGACCAGATTTGGCCCGTGGGACATAATCTGCTAACTGTTGGCTAAACCTCCCCCTGGGGGCTGGGATCCCTTCCTGCTTCCCTCTCCCACCACCAGCTCCATACCGTTGCTCCTCAAGCTCTCCCCGGAAGCCTCCTGCTTTCTTCCCCAAATGACTGATTCCCGAGACTCAGGCGCATAGGTCTTCTTTCTCCCGACGCCCCTGGAGAGGCCCTTCTCTGCCTTCGTGGGCAGACGCTGGTCTGGATGCAAGTCCTTACCGTTGACATATAGCGGATGCTGCTCTCCAACTGGGGCTGAGGGTGAATTCCGGGGTGGAAGGGGTCCTAGGAGATGCAAAGGTGTGGTTCACTGGGTGGCCTCAGGAGCAGACTGGGCAGAGGGTGCAGAGTCCACTTTACCTTTACAAATCGTACACAATTACCTTTAAAAATTGTATAAAATATTTAAAAATTAAACTTAAAAAAAGTGTCAGTAGAGGTTGCTGGGCTTCCCTCGTGGCTCAGATGGTAAAGAATCTGCCTGTAATGCAGGAGACCTGGGTTTGATCCCAGGTGGGGAAGATCCCCTGGAGGAAGGCATGGCAACCCACTCCAGTGTTCTTGCATGGAGAATCCCATGGACAGAGGAGCCTGGCGGGCTACAGTCCATGGGGCCGCAAAGAAACAGACACAACTAAGACACTAACACAACAGTGGGTTGCTGGAGGTTTGAGACTGGTTTGTTGATGATTGTTAATCAACAGGTCTGGACTTGGTTAATTTTTATGGGATGTGTCTTTTGGAAAAAAAAAAAAAATACCCTAGTGGATAGGATGGCTCTGTAGGAATCACAAACAGGAGGAAGCAGGGTCAGAAAAGATTGGTTACACCCTTGCGTTGAAACAGCGCAGATCCACAAGCCAGGCTGCTTTTTAGAAGGAGGAAAGCTAATAACTTTGACAACACACCATGTGCCAGAAACACATCAGGACCAGGGAATTCAAATACAACATCTACTTAATAGCAAAGCTCCTCACCCAGGGACCAGCAGAGAGCTGGATGTCAAAAAAGCCCCCCTTCCTAAGTCTTTGGTGTCTGACATTCTTCACAACCACCTTGCAAAGGTTAATACTATGATTTCCATTTTTTAAAATGAAGTGATTGGTTGGGAGAGGTGACTTCTTCAAGGTCACACAGAAAGCTGGTGGAGACAGAATCTTAATCCAGTGTGTATGTGTTTTCTCCATTAGCCTGCCGCCTCTGTGATAGCAGGCATTTCCAGAACTTTAAAAATTACGTCCTGGGATGGGAATTGGGTCACAGGTGTATTTGAGAACACCCAGTTCATGCCTGGTGTCCAAGAAGTATTCATCAGCTCTAATAGCAAGAAAGCATCAGAGTCACTAGGTAGCACCTTTGGACATGGCTCCTCCTGTAAAACGAAGAGGGCATTTGTGGAGACTCAGAGAGGCCCCTGATTATTAAACATTCCCTGATGCTCATCTGTCAAGGCTGTGATTCTGAGTTTTCATTCCCAAAGAGCTCCATGAATTTGATGGAACTGTGTTTTATGGGAAGCGTGACAACAGGAAGTAAAATGAACACTTCAGACCTCCTATATGACCACATCCTAGTTCTAGTGATTCCATCATTGGTCAAAACGCTTTGAAGATAGCCTTCAGAGATACAGTCTGCGGGATGTTTTCAATTCTTGAGGAGTGGGTATGCTGTCTTGAAATGATTAAAGGTCTTGGAAAGTTGAGCATGGAGAAAAAAGTTGTTGGACAGTGTTTCTTGGGTAACTGTGGAATTTGGCCTGAAGATGGTTTTCTGAGTGACATTCTAAAGAAGGATCTGTGCCCCTGAGATTCTGAAATGGTAAGACCTCCACTGAGAGTCTTATTTTCACGAGAGACAAGTTTCTTATGAAATGGAGCCCAGGTGCTCACAGGCTGACGGTGGGGGTGGTGTGGGGGATGGGAATGAGTGGGGAGGCGGAGTCTCCACGTGAAGAGGGATGTCCCTTTGTGCCCTGTGAAAGGCATCTTCTTAAAGATCTCTGATCAGTGGCTGCTCCCCCACCATCTTGTTTGGGGCTGGGAAGAGAAGACTGTGATGCATTTCTTTGCCTTTAATGCTTTGACCCAGAGGTGAGTGGGTAGGAACAGCCATGTTCCTGAGGCCAGGCCCGGAAGGAGGTTTTATGCAGGTGCAGGGAGGGGAGAGCCCACAGGTCATCAGTTCACGGCCCCTACTCCTGCTGCCTCCCCATCTAACTCTGGGCCTGCCTCCATCTCTCTCCTACTGCACCGTCCTCAGTTGCTCAGTTGTGTCTAACTCTTTGCAACCCCAGAGACTGTGGCCCACCAGGCTCCTCTGTCCACTGGGCTTCTCCAGGCAAGAATACTGGAGTGAGCTGCCATACCTCCTCTAGGGCATCTTCCCAACCCAGGAATCAAAGGTCTCCAACCCAGGTCTCCCACACTGCAGGCGGATTCTTTGCCAGCTCAGCCACCAGGGAAGCCCATGAATACTGGAGTGGGCAGCCTATCCCTGCTTCAGGGCTGTTCCTGACACCAATTACTTTTGCCCTTGGCAAGTGGAAAATAAAAATGTTGCCCCTGGGGGAGGAAGAAATAGGTTGATTTGAACCACTGTAGGTGCCCTAGGAATAAACTGGCACCAAATAACTTTGGCACTGGGAGCCATTCCTTCAACATGGCTTCAGGCAAACAAAGGTTAAAATTGGAATAACTTGGAGCCACCCAAGGTGATTGCTTTGAAAGCCGACATTCATGCTTAATTATCATGACCAAGACAGGAAGAGGAGAAGAGTCTTAAATTTCAAAACCCATAGATTACCTAGAAATTCCATTTATCTAATTATTTTCACTTCTTTCTCCCTATAGAAAGGTAAAGTTGCTCAGTTGTATCCCACTCTTTGGGACCCCATGGACTATACTGTCCATGGAATTCTCCAGGCCAGAATTCTGGTGTGGGTAGCCTTTCCCTTCTCCAGGGGATCTTCCCAACCCAGGGATCAAACCCAGGTCTCCCGAATTGCAGGCGGATTCTTTACCAGCTGAGCCACCAGGGAAGCCCTAGAATATGGGGGTGGGTAGCCTATCCCTTCTCCAGGGGATCTTCCTGACCCAGGAATCGAACTGGGGTCTCCTGCATTGCTTGCAGATTCTTTACCAACTGAGCTATCAGAGAAGCCTCTTTCTCCCTATAGAATCCTTTGTCTATAGCATTACTCTCATCTGATTTTTTTTTTTTGTTGTTCTTCCACAAAAGCACGTTATGGATTTATTTCAAAAGTACATATTTCAGTCTTTAAATGCTGTTAAGAGAAACAAGGCTTGTTGAAATGTAAGTTGGAGGCGGGCGTGTGGTAGACAATATCTTATAGGATAGTTTCACATCTCATCTGAAACTTAACTAAACTTTTTATTTTCAAAGACTCTGACCAGAGGAATTAGAGAATGGATAACAGGAGCAAAGGCAACTTGGGAACCTGCCAGGTGATGTGTTCAAACTAGAATGAGAACATACTGAGCTCCCACTCAATGCTAGGCTAATACATCAGGTATGAGATAGATGTTACCTCATTATCTCAGACCTTACACCATCCCTAGAGGGAGACATTTAGTGAAGCTTCGAGGAAACTGGCCCAAGGTCACCGAATTAGTAAATAGCAGTGCTGGGACCAGGCCACTCCCCAGTCCTCCCGCCACACTTCCTTCCTGTCGAGTTGACATACATGGACACTCACCCAGAGCCCAGCACAGCACAGAAGTGTGTATGCGTGAGCATGCATGTGCACTGAGTTCTCATGTTCTCTTTCTCCCCTACTAAGTGGACCAGAGCTCCCCTGACTTCAGGGAGACAGTTGGAGGCCTGGGGTTTGTCATAGTCACAGCACAGACTGTCTTTCAACTGTGAAGGACACTGGTCAAATGTAAAGCCAAACTGGTCTCGTTTGGCTTGTAAGAATTCCTCTGTTTGTGCCTTGTTCATTCCTGAGTGTGCAGCAGCGTGTTTGTGTGACCGCACCAACACTCTCCTGGGTGTGTGTGAGTTCTGGAAGCTGTAAGTGTCCCTCCATGGGCCCCTTTGCATGACATGTGAAGAAAAGTCCCTCTGCCCTCCAGTACCCAGAAGTAAGCAGCCAGTCCCATAGATTCTGGCTTTCCAGTGGCTGGATTGTGCCTGGCATAAGGATTCAGTAACCAAGAGGGCCAAAAAGAGTTACTAACCGTCTTTCCTCCAGGGTCTGAAATACCCCAGAAGTGCAGCAGCAATGACCATCATGGCAAGCAGGCTTGCAAGCAGCCCAGGAACCAGCCAGTTCCTACTGGTGGGGTCAGATAAGCCCTGAGGATCTGGGGGGTGAGTAGAGGTGACCATGAGCATTGAGGATGAAATTCACAAACGCACCCCAGACAAGTGGGAAACACCTGGCCTGAAGAAGCCTGGCCAATGGGAATAAGGGATGGACCAAAGGAGGTCAACATGGATGGGCAATACCATGGCTGACCATGTGGCCCTTCCCCCCGTGGTGTCCCCTCCCTCTCTATGAGCTTCACTCTTTCCCCACCAGGTTCAGTGGAGATATTCCCAGCAGGGTCATTGCTCAGTCAGGAGTGCCTGCTCTGGACCCAGCCCTGTGCCGGGCATGGCAGGAGGAACACAGAACAGTGAGGTCTGGGGCTCAGAGCCCAGCTGGGGGACAAGACCTACCATCCACAGAGAGTGTCTTGGGCTCACTTGTCTCTCTGGAAACACGGTTCCCAGCCTCGCAGGAGTAGTTCCCAGCATCCTGCTGTGACATCACCCGGAAGAGGCAGGAGGCGGGTCCCCCGTGGGGAGCCACGTGGTTCCGCAGGATGTCCCCATTGAGGTGGAATGAGTACAGGATCGGAGGGGAGCCCCTCTGGGCCTCACAGAGGAGCTCCACCTCGTCCCCCGCAACTAGGCTGGTGGGTCTCAGGGTGAGCAGAGGACGGGACACGGGAGCTGGGGAGCACACAGTTGGGAGGTCAGTGGACTACCCAGGGTCCACACTTAGGGACCCCTCCCCACCCAATCAGGGGCCCACTGCCCACAGCCCAGGCATCTAAGCAGTGACTCCCCTCCCCACTTACTCCACACCCTGAGCTCCAGCTGAGGGCTCCGTTTCTGGACCCTGCCACCCTCAGGGGACGCCTTGCACCAGTAAAGCCCAGAGTCTCCTTCCTTGGCTTCTGGGATGCGGAGTTCCGGGCGGGGGCTTCTGTTCTGCAGGGTGTGGCCGTCCTTGTGGAAGGAAAAGAGCAGCCGCTCGGCCAGCGTCTGACTGCGCGGCTTCGTCTGGCATCTCAGGGTCACAGGTTTCCCCTCGCAGAGCTCGTGAGAGGGGAGGGCCGTCAGCACGGGAGGCGGGAACCACACTGGGGAGAGGCAGCCGGGGGCTCAGGATGGGAGTCTGGACAGTGAGGCCCGGGGAGGCTGAGGTCTGAGCTTCGGCCCACTCCGGGCCCCACGGGACATACCGTCACCATCTCCCAGCACCTCACCGCTCATCCCACTCACAAACCCTGAAAGAATGCCCATGCTCCCAAGCTCCTCTGGGGTCCCAGAAAGCCAGACCCGGAGGGGCCTTAGCGGTCACCTAGTCCCCAGAGGGGAAGAGTCTGGCTCAGGGTCTCAAGGGGGCGGTGAGCGTCAGGGCATCTTCCACCTCCTTCCCTGACTCCAGACATTCCCGTGGAGGGGGAGGGTATGTAGACAGCCTCCTGGGCATCTCAGGGCCCTGCCGACTGACCCAGCAACAGGGGCAGCCAGAGGGAGGGGTGCAGCCCTGAGCCCTGCTGTCCTCTAAGACCAGGCCTCTGAGCAGCACCCTAACCATCCCACCCCAAGTAGTGACTCACCTTGGACTTGGACCGTGGCAGTCCCTGAATCCCATGAGTCCATGTTTTGGGTATATTTCGCCCGCCCAGTGCAGTTATAGTGGCCACTGCTGTTAGCTGTTGCTGTCCCCAGGAAGAGAGGCCAGTTGTTCTTAGAGAAATGGAGGAATTTTCCATCTTTGTAGAATGTCACCTGGGACAGCTCGGCGTTCTTCCTTCCCCGGCATCGCAGAATCAGTATATCCCCCTCAAACACGAGGTATGGCTGGGCTTGGAGGCTCAGCCAGACTGTAAGATGAAGGAACAGGGTCGCCCTGGAGCTCTGGGTCCCTCAGTCCACTTTCTCCCTCTTCCCCAGCCTAATCCCACCCCCACCCCACCCCTCTCCTGGGATGGAGGCTCCTGGATGGGACCTTCACAGTTGTCACTGTCCCCAGCTCGTCACGCCAGACCAGGGCCTGCGCTCTGCTTTCGTCCACTCCCTTCCTCTCTGTTTCCTCTGCCCTTCTCCTCTTTCCCTCCTCCCCCCTCCCTTCTCTTCTCTCTCTGCGCCTTCTCTCTGGCCTCCTTCCCTCCTACCCTTCTTCTCTCTATTCTTTTCCCCCTACATGACCAGGGATGGGACCCTTGCCCTCTGCAGTGGAAGCTCAGAGTGTTAACCACCGGACCATCAGGGAAGTCCCCCTCCGTGTTTGCTTTTTCAATGCACTCTCCCCTGCCACCTTGGCAAGCTTGAGGCAAACTGGGTTCCTTCCATGCATTGTTCCTCTTTGTTCCTCCTGATCGGATCCCCATTCTCCTAGTCTGGTTCCTTCTCCCCTGGTGACCCCAGCGCAGCTCTTTCTGCAGTGTCCACCTCGGATGGTATGTGCACCCCTACCCCCCAGAGAGGAGCTGAAGGAGTGGGTGTTGGACATGCCATGGCCTGGGCTCGCTGCCCCCTGCTTCCCTCATTGGGCTCCCCCAGGCCCAGCCTCCATCAGCACTCCCAGCAGCGAGGTTCGTCTCCACCACAGTCACGGTGTGGGATCTGCCACCTCTGTCCTCATTTCTAAAATGCCTTTTATGCCCTGATGTGAACAAAAGAAGAACTCCTGCGGACCCAGCATCATCTGCAGGGCAATCCCAGACTGGCCTGGCCCCGGGACATCTGTCCTTGGCAAACCAGGTACCGCTGGTCCCAGACAACCTCAGAAGCCTGAGAGTAATGATGCAAAATCAGATAGGGAGCCCAAAAAAGAGCCACAGCACATCCTACCTTTGCCTGGTTCACCTGGATCCCTAGGACTCTTATTTGCACCCAAGAACTAATGATGCTCACAGCGCAGCTGAATTACGGGCCTTGCTTCCTTGGCTGCTCTTTCTAGCACCGCTAAATATTGGTTTGGAATCTTCCTCTCGGGCATCACAGAACATGTCCCTAGAGGTCAAGATTTCACAGGTCAGAGTTTTCACCCACTGACAGAAGCTCCATGGAGGTCAGTGGGACAGGATGAGTGGGAGGGCAAAGGTGGCCGAGGGAGAAAGAAGGCGGATCCACAGACAGAGATGCCTGCTTCCTGGAACGTTAGCGGGAAGGGAGCGAATCCAGAACTTGATGAACGGGGATGGCAGGAGCTCCAGAGCCACACCGAGAGGAGACTTATAAGGGAGCCGGATGGAGGCCTAGAGCCCTTCTTCCGGAACTTGAAGTCACCCTGTAACTATCTTCGGCCAGGGACAGTGAAGCCCTGGGTTTCTCCTCTTCCTCGGCATTAGTGAAGACTCCTGAGGACGAGGTCTAGGCTGGGGCTGCTCTGAAGGTGTTGCTGGGCTCCCAGTGTTGTTCAGTCTGTCAGTCGTGTCCCACTCTTTGCAGGCTTCCCTGTCCTTCACTGTCTCCTGGGGTCTGCTCAAACTCATATCCAAGCTCATTTCTAGCAATACTTAGTGATACTAGAAAGAGCAGCCCAGGAAGCAAGGTCCGTCATTCAGCTACACTGGGAGCATCATTAGTTCTCCTGTGAGGCAAGGAGTCCTAGGGATCCAGGTGGACCAGGTGAAAGGATGCGCTGGGGCTCTTCTTAGGGCTTCCTAGTCTATTTCTCATCATTACTCCCAGGCTTCTGATGCCATCCAACCATCTCATTTTCTGTCGTCCCCTTCTCTTCCTGTTCTCAATCTTTCCCAGCATCAGGGTCTTTACCAATGAGTTGGCGCTTTGCATCAGATGGCCAAAATATTGGAGCTTCAGCTTCAGCATCAGTCCTTTCAATGAATATTCTGGGTTGATTTCCTTGGATTGACCCAATGGCCCTGATTTTACCTATCTATTAAGTTTTGGCCCAGAGACACCCTTGGAGATGAAAGAGACATGGACAAGACTTACCAGTTTTCCCAACACAGGGAACTGCAAGAGAAAAAAGTGATAGATTAAGTAGCAGAAAGAACTTTCTGACAAGGAAAGGGCCTGTAACCTTATAAATAGATGCTAACATTCATTCAACCAGTCAACCACCCAGCCCCCTAAGCACATAACTATCTAAGCCACCCAACCTCTCACACACCCAGCCACCCAGCTATCTAAGCAAACAGCCACCCAGCCACTCAGCCACTCAAATTTTATGGTGGACCTACTGCCTGGAATTCTTTGCCCAATCTCAGTTCAAATATTATCCCCTTAGACAAGTCTTGCTGGGCTTCCCAGGTGGTGCTCATGGTAAAGAACCTGCCTGCCAATGCAGGAGATGCAAGAGACACGGGTTCAATCCCTGAGTTGGGACAATCACCTAGAGGAGGAAATGGCAACTCCAGTATTCTTGTCTGGAGAATCCCATGGACAGAGGAGCCAGGCAGGCTACAGTCCATATGGTCGCAGAGTTGGACATGACTGAAGCAACTTAGCACAACTATCATAATACCCTATTGTGTTACCATCAGAGCACTATCATCATTTAAAATTACCTTACCATTAAATTGCCTACTTGTAATCACCTGTCTCCCCAACTCTGTCTACAACTTAAGCTCCATGAGAGCAGGTCCTCGGCCTGTCTAATTCACTGGCGTATTACCTACACCTAGGGCCCATGCCTGGACTATGGTCTGTGTTCAATAAGCATATACTAAATAGATGCATGAATCCTTCCCCCACTCGTGCAGGGCAGGGAACAAAAAGCAAAAGACACAGGACTAGATTCTTGCACTATTGTGCCTGAGGGGCCTGTTTACACGTACAGAAGGACTCAGCAAAGCAGGACTGAATTCCTGTAGCCCATCTGCCCACAGAGCTCTGGGGAATAGAGTATTTGGAAGTGACCATAGGAAGGAGGTAAGAATAGATTGTGTGGATGTGATCATAGGAAGGAGGTGAGGTTTCCCTGGAGGAGGTCATTAAATGACTGTGGGGCATGGACAGGCAGCTCGGAGGCATGGGATGCAGGCCGGTGCCTCACACCGTGTCGCAACTTGTATGCACTGCACTAATGCTTCTAGATGAATGAATGCTTGAGGAGAGTAAGTGGACAGGAAAGTGTTAGTTGCTTAGTCATATCTGACTTTCTGTGACCCCATGGGCTATAGCCTTCCAGGCTCCTCTGTCCATGGGATTCTCCAGGCAAGAATACTGGAGTGGGTATCCATTTCCTTCTCCAGGGGATCTTCCCGACCCAAGGGTCAAATTCAGGTCTCTTGCATTGCAGGCAGATTCTTTACCATTTGAACCACCAGGGAAGTCCAGGTGGCCTGGAAAGAGAGGCCAAACCACAAAATGATGACAGATGCGGTTAGGCAGGGGTGATCAGCCTAAGGGATGAGAGACCCTAAACTGAGGATGGAGTTGGGTGTAAAGCAGTGGTGCATATTCTGGGCTTTGGGGCAAGAGGCAAAAGAATGAATGAGGTGGGGCTGAGTGCAGTCAGTCCAGCCGGGTCCCAGGCATTGACTTGTGCCTTTCTCTGCTGGGTGCTGTGCAGAATCCTGAGAAATGCAAGAATGGTCTTGGGAGGGGTGGGTGAAGATCCCCTCAGCAGATCTGGCATGTTCATTCACAGCCTATCATGCTTGCTGTCCACATGATTTGGGACATATTCTCTACCCACTCCGCTCAGGTCAGCTCCGCCGCAGGTTCTCAGGGTGTATAAGATTATGACTCCATCCCTTCATCTTCCCCTGCCTCCAATCTAAGTGCATCTTCTGTGATCTTGGTGTAGTGGGAAGCGCATAGGCTTTGGAACCAGATGACGTGGGCTGATTTCATAAGTCCATCTCTTTCTATGGGAACCTGCACGGGTTGTTTAAAGTTCAAGAGCCTCCAATTCCTGGCTCTGTCTGTATAGTGGAAATGACAATGAAATGGAGCAGGACCGTGTGTGTGGCCCTTGCCCCTCCCACCATCAGGTTCTCTGCTTGCCATTTGCCTCTGGAAAACTTTAGTCAGAGAATAAGCTTAATCAGAGAAGTGAGAAACTCTGAAACAAAGGAAAACAGTTTCAAAGAGGACCAAATAATAATAATGTAGTCATCAACCATAGTCAGGGGCCTTTAGTTCTGTCTCCAGGGCTACAGATAACATTCTGAGCCATGTCCTGCGAGCTGTCTTATAGATGCGAAACCCCAGGTGGAGAAATTAACTGCATGATGACCAGCCTGTGCCCAGGACAGGAGCTGCCACAATGTCAAGAACTGACCGCAAAGAAATGGGAACAAGTGGACCCCAAAACTGAAGATTAACTGGACCTAAAACAACCAAGATGATGCCAGTCAGACCACTGATGACCAATTTGAAGATGACTGTCAGAGATGATTGTGCTGTTTCTGTGTGTAGCCCCCACGCCCCACTCTGTCTATAAAAGCTCTCACCCGCTGCTTGTCAGAGGGGTGTCAGCCTTTGGACAGATGTCCGCCACCCTCTCCCACAGTTGCTGGCACCTGAAATAGAGCACTTTCCTTTCTACCAACCTGGCCTGCTTATTGGCTTTTGAGTGGCAAGCAGCCAGACCCTCCCCATGCATACCTTTCAGTAACAATAAGTCATTTCTCCCTTACAGAGCAGTTGCATAGATTATACTGACCCCCTGCCTGGGGAGGTGGTTTCTGTATTAGCTGAAAGCAGAAAGAAGGCCTGACCTCAGAGTGACTAAGACCTCACTGGGTAGTGATGCCTCCCCTTCCTTTCCCTTCCCCACCGGAAAACAGTTTTGCAGCTACAAAGTGATGAACAAACAGGCCTGAGGTGACTGATGCCTATAACAAGAGGTAGGCTCCAGTGAGCATAGATGCTTCAGATGAGCTTGTGCCCAGATCCCAACGACTTGCTCTCCAAGGCATCGCAAGGCCTTGGGTTGCGGTTGCAGAACCGCTGTGTATAATCAAAGTGGTCACCAACTGGGGACAGAGCAGATGACACCTGCTTACAGCAGTTCCTATGAAGAGAACCCGAGGCTTCGGTCAGGTACAGGTTGACGATGAGGTGACAGTGTGATGTGAAGCCAAGAGCTACTGTAAAGCTGTGGAGTCCTGCATGGCGGAGGTCACAGCCCCAGTGAACTCTGCACTCATTGGGCCACTTTGGGAGGGATGAGAACGCCCAGCTCCTGACCCACCGACAAAGCTTATTGGACCGAGCAGACCAGGGCAACGAACCGGGCCTAGAAACCATTTTCTACTAGGGGACTTGGCAGACGTTTATCTGAGGAAGATGAGACAGAGTAGGGATAGTCAGTAGCCTTCGAATACCTGATGGGCTAAGCTTAAAAGAAAGGAGAGACTCGCTACTTCACAGGGGGTCTTCCTGACCCAGGGATCAAACCAGCCATCTCACATTTCCTGCATTGGCAGGCAGGGTCTTTACCACTAGCACCACCTGGGAAGCCCTCATAGGGCAGAAGTGGAACTAGTTAGATCAGAGAGGCAGGTTTCAGCTCCACACGAGGAACTACATCACAGTAAATCTCTACCACGTTGCAACATGCTACCCTGCCAAGGGGTGGCATCCACGCACCGGCAGAGCTGTGTGTTACGGATGCTGCGTGCGTATGGGGGGTGGGTTCCAGTATGAGGACTGAAGCTGGCTGACGCACAGCTCAGAGGAAGATCAAGGTTCATCGCCTAAATTTTAAATACACCTTAGTGTGTGTTAATCACTCAGTTGTGTCTGACTCTGCAATCCCACGGACTGGGGCTTGCCAGGCTTCTCTGTCCATAGAATTCTCCAGGCAAGAATACTGAAGTGGGTTTGCATTTCCTTCTCCCACGGCTCTTCCTGACTCAGGGACTGAACTCAGGTCTTCTGCATTGCAGACAGATTCTTTATCATCTGGGCCACAAGGGAAGCCCAAAGACATCTTTAGCATACAGCCATGAACCAGCGTGTTCAGTGACAGGGCTTCTAGGCTCTAGAATCTGTGATAGCCAACACTAACAACAGGTACCATTTGTTGTGTGACCACGTCCTGCTAGGCACTTTAAATGAATATAATTTCTAGTTTTACCTGATTAAATTTCAACTACATCCAGACTTGAGGTAGTGAGACAGAACAGAGAAAGCACAGAGCTTGACAAAATGGGTTGGGTTTGCATCTCTGTTTTGCTTGTTAGCAGGGTAATTCTGGGCAAGTTTCTTAACATTTTTGAACCTCAGTTTCCCCAACTGCTTCATAGGGATAAAAATTAAGCCCTCCCGTATAACGACTCTGAGGGTTATATGAGATAATGCATGTACTGTACATTCAGTGTTTTTTTTTTCTCCTCTGTCTCTCTGGCCGCATCTGAGAGGAAATAGCACTTGAGAGGAAATAGCAGCTTTACCCTTACGGTAACTTCGTTGTGACAGTTTCAGCCAGGGGGTCCGAATCTCAGGCTGGCTTTCTGGGGTCCTGAGCATCAGATGTGACTCAGTCCTGCCTGGGTTTCCCATATGCCATCGAATTAGTCAGCCAGTCACTGACTGTCCACCTCTCCTCCTTTTCTTTCCCCCATCCAGGTCCTGAGCTACACGCCGGGAAGCTCTTAAGTTTTTATCTAGTCAAGTCCAAGGACTCTATTCCTTTCACAAGGAAGGGGTGTGCCCTTAAGAATCTCCCATCTGGAGTGTATCCAGGCACAAGGCCATCCTGTCCCTGCCCTAATGTGAGCACTGACCCTCTCACTTGTCCAAATGACCATTCATAAAACACACAGGGCAACATGGTGACGTTGGGGAAGGAAGAGCCCTGAGTGGAACAAGTATTTTCTTCTCCGAGGCTAAAGTCCCACAAACTTGACCCAGGAAGGGGGTGCTCTTAGGAAGGCTTTTGCTTTTCAGGGCTTCCCTGACGGCTCAGACAGTAAAGAATCTGCCTGCAATGCAGATTCTGGATTTAATCCCTGGGTGAGGAAGATCCCCTGAAGAAGGAAGTAGTTATCGACTCCAGTATTCTTGCCTGGAGAATTTCATGGACAGAGGAGCCTAGCGGGCTACAGTCCACTGGGTTGCAGAGTCAGAAGTGACTGACTGACTAACACATTTTGCTTTTCTGGTTCAATGAAAACAAACATCTGGGACCAAGCTTAAAACAAAAAGCAAGTCAACTCAGAAACTGTGAAGCGAAGTGATCTATGTGCCCAGACTCATTCCTTCTGAGTGTAGCATCTGACAATGCCTAGACTGAGCTGAATCTAGGGGAGCTGAGTAACCCACCCCCACTCCAATCCTCTGTCTGGAGACCAATCCCTTCTGGCATCAAGGAGAGAGCTATGGATTCAGAAGAATGGATCTGAACCTCCATATAGGTCCCCATGGGCTTCCCAGGTGGCTCAGTGGTAAAGAATCTTCCTGCCAGTGCAGGGATTCAGGAGATGCAGGTTCGATCCCTGGGTCAGGATGATCACCTGGAGAAGGAAATGGCAACCCACTCCAGTATTGTTGCCTTGGAAATCCCATGGACAGAGGAGCCTGGTGGGCTACAGTGCATGGGGTTGCAAAGAATTGGACATGACGTAGCGACTCAACAACAGCAACAATAATGATAACATGGGTCCCCATGGGCCAGTCAGACCCAAATCAGAACCTCCCCCTGACAGAGAGAAGAAGTAGGCGGAATAGGAATGGTCATTTTGAAGAGGGCTTTGGACACTCAGGGCATAAACCTCTTGACTAGGGAAGAAGCCCAGTCATTATTGACTGGTTCTAAGAAAAGGCTGAGGCTTCTTAAAAATACATCTTCTTGTAAAACCCCACGTTTAGCTCTGCTTGCTGAGCAAAATGTGTGGAACTGCCTTTTGTCCACTTCCCCGATCCTTCCTCCGCACCCCAGCAGCCTCCTTTCCTTCTGTGATTTTATTTCCCTTTTGAGATAGACCTGATGGATATTTTAACTTGATTTCACAGGTTGAAAAATGTCATTGGATTTCAGCATGTGATTTTTTTTTTGGCTCCCTAAATTAGCTTTGACACATCAAATGGTTGCCCTTCCAAGGACCCAGGAAAATAGGGTAGGAAACCCTGGGGCTCCCCAGATGGCCTCATCCCCATCACTCTCATCCCCATCACTCTCAAGCATACCCATGTGCACACACTGGTCTCAAGCTCTAGCCATAAACCCACTTGAACTAGGAAAGGTGAAATAAGGAACTTTGCATCTTAGGAACAGCACAGTCTTTGGCGCCCAGGAGAGGCCACTGGCATTGGTGACTTACCGAAGAGCAGAGCAGCTGTCCAGAGCAGCATGGGGCCCAGCCTGGTGTGGAAGAGGGTACACAGGGCAGCCCGAAGTCAGGCGTGAGGATGGCAGGGCGAGCGTCTAGGTCGCAGGCCCAGGGGTGGGTGGGTGACCCCCTCTGACGTGGGTTGTGTTAGCGCTTGATAATCTAAATACAGGAAGTGGGGAAGAAACTAAAAGCTCATTTTGGTATTTCTTCTTTGCTAGAACGAGCGCAACACAAATGAATTTTCTTGGCCATAAAGCATAAGGTAGTCAGATAAGCCACTGGGAAGCACTTTATTGTTTTCTTAATATATATATTTTACTGAAGTGTAGTTGACTTACCGTGTTTCAGGTGCATAGCAAAGTGACTCAGTTACACATATATTCTTGAAATTATTTTCCATATAATTACCTGGGCTGTACTGTAAACCTTTGTTACTTGTTGCATATCTATTTTTTAACTAGAAATCTAGCATTCTATTAATACTAAGTCAAACAAGTGGAATCAAAATGTCATTAGTGTGTTAGTTAGGCAAAAATTCATGTTTTCTTAAATATATATAATACGTATTACTTATATACATATATGTATAGAAAAGCTTTTCTACTACACTTGATAAAGGCTTGAGAAAGAACAACAAAAAAAGAATAGATGGAAAAATTGGAAAACAGAAACTGCTGCCAGTGTCCCACGCCTGTGGTGAAACCCTGCTGACCGCCGCCTCCACAGGAGAGCCCCCCACACTACCAGGTGTTTTTGGTTCAGTCTCCCGAGTGGTCACTGCTCCTTTCCTCTGGGTCTTGGCACACACAAAGATTTCGTTTGTGCCCTCCAAGACTGGAGTCTCTGTTTCCCCCAGTCCCGTGGAAGTCCCATAATCAAACTCCTTTGGCTTTCAAGGTCAGATTCCCTAGGGATTCCCAGCCCTTTTGTCAGATCCCCAGGCTGGGAAGCCTGACACAGGCTTCAGAACCTTCACAACAGTGGGAGGACATCTTTGGTATTATTGTTCTCCAGTTTGTGGGTCACTCACCAGGCTGGTATGGAATTTGATTTTACTGTGGTTGTGCCCCTCCTACTGCCTCGCTGAAGCTTCTTCTTTGTCTTTGGATGTGGGGTATCTTTTTTTGGTGGGTCCCAGCAACCCCATGTTCATGGTTGTTCAACAGCTAGTTGTGATTTTGGTGCTCTTGCAGGAGGAGATGAGTGCACACCCTTCTACTTGCAAGCACTTTTGAACACTCTCTTGGTGGTTTGAAAAGACTCATGCTAGGAACTAGGATGGGACATGGCTAAGGAAAGACGCAGAGACTGCAGAATTTGCCTGGCCTCAGCATCACTTAGTCTGGAAGGTAGCGCAGAGATGGGAACACTAAGACCCTCCACACTGCCCCACCTCTACTCCGAGTGACCTCTAGTTCTCCAAGGTGCCCTCTTCTTCAAGCAGAAATGTGTCTGGCATCTGCAATAAGGTAGAGAAGTGGGATCCTTGAAGATATTCCACAGGGCCATCAGCTCAGCAGAGAATCAAGGATCAATGTGGCTGGGGTAGAATGGGGATGGAGGTTCTGAACCTGAGGCTTTAAATGGTCAGGTAATTATTTTGAGAAGAATTGTTCATTAAAAGACACCATTAAAAGAGTGAACAGGCAAGCCACAGAGTGGCAAGATATTTTAAATAAATATGACTGACAAAGGACTGGTATCCAGAATGCAAGGATTTCTACAATTCAATATGAAAAAGGCAGACCACCCTCTAGAAAAATGGACAATATTTTGGATAGCTACTTTACAAAAGCAGATATCCAAGCGTTCAATAAACTTATAGGCTAAGGAACTTGACTTCATAAATCACTGTGGAAATGCAAACCTAAACTGCAATGAGATACCACTACATCCCCCATAAGAATGGCAAAAACTATAGACAACCAAGTGCTGGTGAGGATGTGAGGTAACTAGAACTCATGTACACCTCCAGAGGGAATATAAATTGGTACAGCCACTTTGGAAAACTATGGGGCAGAATCTAATAAAACTGGACATACAGATCCTGATGGCCCAGTGTTTTCATTCTGAGGTATTTGCACATGTGGGCATCACAAGACAGGTGCAAAAATGTTCATAGCAGCATCACTTGTAATAGATGAAAACTGGAAACCACTGGTGTCTCAACACAAAAGAAGGCCATCCCCTACCCCCATGTCCTCTGAGAACTGAACACGTTAATTTAAGGTGAAGCATGGAGAGCTGGGTAAAATGCCAGGAAACATTTTCTGACAGTGAGTTGTTCCTGGAAGACTTTAGGTGAGAGTTTTCATACAGTCTGAAAAGAATTTGCTGTGCTTACTGCTGAAGGAGCTTCCCAGGTGGCGCTCAGTGGTATAAAAGCTGCTTGTGTAATAATGCAATAATGCATTAATAATGCAATAATGCAGGGTAATGCAGGAGATGTAAGAGATTTGGGTTTCATCCCTGGGTTGGGAAGATTTCCTGGAGGAGGGCATGGCAAACCACTCCAGTATTCTTGCCTGGAGAATCCCAAGGACAGAGGAACCTGGCAGGCTGCAGTCCATAGGGTCACAAAGAGTTGGACATGACTGAAGCGACTTAGTACATACGCACTGCTGAAGGTGGGAAGAGAAAGGGTGAACTTTCAGTTTTCTGCCCAAGTTCTCTGATTCAGTGGAAGTGGGCAACCAATCTGGCACTGCCAGGAAGTTCTTCTGAGTCTCGGTTGATTGGAAGATAAAAGGAGTGAGGAAGTAAAGTAGGAATTGAGTATCTTGTTGGCTCAGCTCAAGATGTTAACATTTATGCATTTTCCTCTCTCCGTTCTCTTTCCAACAGATCTTCCGACTTGAGTCACCTTTAACTTTGCTCAGCTGCAGGTCGAGAGGGTAATGTGACACCTCTGCAGGGCTGCAGCTAGGGTAGGAGACGGGGCAACCACAAATGGTCTAGCTTGCAAGCACTGAAGGTGCTTTGCAGGCAGAACCCATGAAGCCTCGGCCCCTGCCTTCTTCTACCTTCACTGGGTTCGGGTGGCCTGACTGTGTGAAGCCTCCCCCACTTCTCACCCTACCCTTGCAGAGTGAGGTTTTGTTGCACCTTCAAAGGTGTTAGTGACATTGGCTCTCTGAGCTTAACTGGCTGCACACTGCTTCTTGGGGGTGAAGATCACCAGAGGCAAGTAGGGCTGCTCCTAGCTTAGGAGTCTTCAGGGCCCAGACTGAATGGAATCAAGATTGGGACGGGTTGGGGGGATCAAGACCCATAATACTCTAAGGGAAATGAGGGGCTAAGAGGAGTGGGAGGATAACAGAGAGGGGATTCTCAACCAGCAAGGGCTTGAAGCCCAGGGGTCCTCATTCCTCAGGGTCAGCTCGCAGGGGAACAGTGGTGATGGACAATGGCTTCTGGGGAATGGGAAGCTTCAGTCCCACTCCAAGAGGTAAGAGAGGAGAGTGGGGTAGGCAACTGGGGTTAGGGAGAAGCTCTTGGCATGTAGATGCCATGGTGGGCCCCAGAGCCACCCACCTGGGCTTAAATCCTTGCTCTGGATACTAATCTGCTGAGAGCTTGGTGAAGTTTTTAACCTTTCTGCACTGCAGAGTCCTTAACTCTAAAGTGGGATAAATGATTACATCTGCATCATAGGGGTGTTAGGAAGGTTAAATGAGATAACACCGTGAGAAATGCTTAGACAATGCTTCTAACAGCCCTCTCTTGCAGTGGTGGTGATGTTCTCTGGGCTGTTCAGTTCAGCTGTTACCAGCTACATGTAGCTACTTGTGGTTGGCTAGTGAGACAGGAACTGAAATTTTCATTGTTTTAAACTTCTGTTGTTCTGCTGCTAAGTCTGTCTGACTTTATGCAACGTCCTGGACTGCAGCATGCCAGGCTTCCCTGTCCTTCACTAACTCCCAGAGTTTGCTTGAACTCATGCTCATTGAGTCGCTGATGCCATCCAACCATCTCATCCTCTGTGGCCCCTTTCCCCTCCTGCGTTCAATCTTTCCCAGCATCAGGATCTTTTCCAATGAGTTGGCATTTTGCATTAGGTAGTCAAAATATTGGAGCTTCAGCTTCAGCATCAGTCCTTCCAGTGAATATTCAGGGTTGGTTTCCTTTCAGACAGACTGGTTTGATCTCCTTGTCTGTTCAGGGACTCTCAAGAGTCTTCTCCAGTACCACAATAAAAAGTAAATAGCTAAATGTGGCTAGTGGCTGCCTTGTTGAACATTGCAGGCTTAGAATAATGCCTGGCAAGTGGTAAGAGCTTGATGATTAGCTGCTGTTGTAAGGAAGAGTAAAAGCCTTGGGCCACCAGAGCCTTCCGCTCAACCTTAGCTTGTACTGGTAAATCCCAGAGAGGTGAAGTAATTTGTGCAAAGGTACTCAGCCATGAAGCCCGTTGGGACTGGAGTCACATCCCTAGCTGGGACTGGAGGCCCAAGGAAAGACTTGACATTTCAGAGTTAGTTTAGAAAGAGGGCAGGAGCTGTAAAGACCAGGAGTTCAGTGAAGATGGAGCTAGACTGGGAATGAGACTCTGGGCCTGGCCTGCAGGGGGCAGACAACACTGAGGCATCTGATCACCACCCTCTTTCCCTTTCCTCCTAGAATGAGCCTGGACGGGCCAATGGGAAACTTTGTATCAGGCCTGCAGCGACCCCTTGTGGTTACATAGACAACTGTCTTAACGAGAGCATCTTTATTAATATCGAAAGATCATTCTCTATTTACCCATTCATCCAGGAAGCTTTATTTTTTATTTTTTATGTCTTGCTCAATGCCCTGTCCACCTCTGCCTTCAGGAGCTCAGGAGGAGACAGGCATATACTCAATATAGTCTTTGTGTTTTTTAAAGCATTTTTTCATGCCTCCATTATCTTAGTTCATCAATTTGTTTTATTGTCTTTTTCTAATTCCAGCTTTTGATCTCCCTAAAGCCAAGAGCCAAGTCTAATTTATCTTTGTGTTTCCAGGCCTAGCATAGTAAGAACTTCAAGATACAGCAAAGTATAATTTTTAGAAGTTCTTGAGTCAGAGTTGAGTTCTAATTCTGGTTCTGCTGCTTACTAAGTGGAAGATGGGGGTGGGAGGGGTGGCTTAATCTCATATTTTAAATCTCTAACAAGGTGATAATGATATTTACTTCTAATATTGTGGAGAGGATTATGCTTTGGCTCACACAATATCTTGTACGCACATCTCTCCACCTGAAATTGGGGTCTACACATATATCTCCGATTCCTGGGTCGGGATGTTCCCCTGGAGAAGGAAATAGCAACCCATTCCAGTATTCCTGCCTGGGAAATCCCATGAACAGAGCAGCCTGGCAGGCTACAGTCCACGGGGTCGCACAGAGTCGGACACGACTGAGTGACTAACACTTGTACTTCCCTTCATGGAAGCTCTTTCCTGACCAGGCTTCGGGGCACCTACATGTCTCAGCTTCAGGGTCCATACATGTCTCAGCATCTCACACACCTACCTGGCATTGTAATCACCTCTTGTATGCATTCCCCGCAAAGGACTGCAAGCCCTCAGAGGTTCCCGGCCACATTTGTCTTCTTCTGGGCTGTGCTTTCAGTGCCTGGCTCAACAAATCCGTGTGGAGTGGAGGCTGAGATACAGCCGAGGCCCACCTCCTGTGGGTCCTACTTACACCCAGTAGCAACCAGCAGGAGGGTGCTGAATTGTCACCCTATTTGACCTCTTCAGGTCCTCTCACCCCACCCCTCGATTCTCTTACTCTTAAATAAGTGGGTCTTAGGGTAAGATGTTCCTACCTTGCATGTTTTCATTTGCTTGTTTTTGGCTCTGTTGTTGAGGGTTTTGTTTTGTTTGTTTTGGCCACACCACACAGTATGTAGTATCTTAGTTCTCCCAACCAGGGATCAAACCTGCCCCCTGCAGTGGAAATGCAGGGTCTTAACCATTCCCTGATAGCTCAGTTGATAAAGAATCCACCTGCAATGCAGGAAACCCCAGTTCTATTCCTGGGTTGGGAAGAGCCCCTGGAGAAGGGAAAGGCTACCTATTCCAGTGTTCTGGCCTGGAGAATTCCACAGACTGTACAGTCCATGGGGTTGCAAAGAGCTGGACACGACAGAGTGACTTTCACTTTCTTACTTTCTCAACCACTAGACTGCCAGGGAAGTCTGAGATTTCCCTACCTAATGTGCTTGGTTGTCTCTGACTTAGCCTAGTATCTGAATAATTCAGCACCTCTATTCCTTCCTTTCTGGCAATGAGAGATCATCAGTTTCTTTGAAGGGGGATGGGTCCTATCTAATCTATGTTTCTTTGAATCATAACTCCACCCCATCTCAGTTTCCTTACTTTTGATAGTATACATACTCATTACATTCTTCCTTGCATTTTCCCCCCCCTAAGTAGTATATTAACGTTTTTCTCAGTTGTGCTTCAGATAGGGCAACCTAGAAGGCTGTGGTCACCAAAAGCAGCCTTAGAAATTAGGGAATGGTTTCATAGAAGCGACTGGAAATGGATGGAGATACATTCTTCCCTGGAGACTGAGGAAGAAAAGCATATGTAATTAAAGCAATAAATTGGATTTTTTGAGGTTTTTTGTTTACCATTGTCAAACATAATCTATTTCATGCATTTCTACAGAATGCATAAAATAGGTCAGATTTTCATTTTCTTCACTTTGCTTATTTTCTCCTGTTCCCTGCATAATGGGAAGACGGGGGATGTGTGTATTTAGAGAAGGTGGTGGTAGGGGCTTGGGTGCACTGGACCCTGGAGTTGGATGCCCGTGAGCAAATAAAAATGAAAAAGTGGCAATGAGGTATCTGGGAACAAGCATAGCGTTTGAGTCAAACAGACCAGAGCTCCAGTCCCGGCTCAGCTGCATCCACCGTGCGCCTCGGGTCTCACTCTCCTTCCTCTCCTGCTGCATTCAGCCCTCCATTCCTCCTTCCACCAGTTTCTCTATGCACTGGGTTCCTTTCGTCTGCACGTGGTCGTGCACCAGCCCCATCTCAAGCCAGCAAACCTCGCCCTCTGCCTTCCTCACCCCTTTCGGCTTCCACCCAGGTGTCTCCTCCCTTTGCTGCTGAGTTTCTCAGAGGAGTCACCCACACTCCCTGTCTCCTGGGCTGCAATCCCTCCCCAGTTCTCGCTCTCGGCTGATCTGACTTCAGACCCCACCATCCCACTGACCTGCTTTCGTCACTCACAGTGGCTCCTCTGTGTCCAGCCCCAAAGATCTGCCCCCTGATGGCCTGACTCCTCAGCAGTGTTTCCAGCAGTTGGGCTGCTTCCCTCCTGCCACACTTCTCCTTGACATCCATCACACCCCTTCGTCTGATCGTCTCCTACTTCTCTGGCTACACCTTCTCAGTCTGTTTACTGGACCCTTCTCTTCTCCCTGACACTGAACGTAGGGGTCCTCAGAGCTCAGTCCTGGGATCCACCCCCTTTCCCATCTCTTCTCTGTTTACGCTGTTTCCCTAGTCCCACAGCATTAAATAGTATAAGGCAACCCCAAATTTATATATCCTGACCTGGCCTGACCTCTCTGGTGGACTCTGACCCCAAATATACAAGTGTAGTTTCTCCTCCTCCACTGGGGTGGTTCACAAGTATTTCAAACTTTGCATATCCAAAAGAAAACTCTTTGTGCCTTTTCTTGCTGGAAACAAATTACCCTTCCACTGTTCCCATCCTCCTCCCCATGTTTTCTCATCTCAGTAAGCATCACCACTCAGAAACTTCAGAGCCATTTCTTACCGCTAATCTATTATCCAGTTCTATAGGTTTCTCTCCAAATTATGTCTCAAATCCACCTCATTCTCCCCATCTTTACTGCTACCTATAATGGAGTTCCTGATATCTTTTGCCTCCATCACTGGGAAAGCCTCTTGATTCTTTTCCGCATCTCTGCTCTTGCCCTCCCATGCATTTCACACAGGGAAGAAAGACCTGACTTAACACGGAATATAAACAGACCCACTGTAAACACTCCCTGACTTAAAACTTCCAGTGTCTCTCCATTGCATCAGAATGAAACATACCCCGTTTTGTAAAGCCCAGAAGGGGGAGCCCTGTCTCTCTTTCTAGCTTCATGTGAAGCCAGCTGCTTCTCTTCCTTTGCTGTGGATCATCCTTCAGGTCTGTGAAGGACCCCAGAGCCTCCCTCCTCACAACCTTCATCTGCTGCTCCTTTTGCCCCCGAGCCTCTGCGCCCATCCCCACCCCCACCTCTGCTCCCCCCTCCATAGTGTGTAATGACATAAAATTATCTGAGTACTCACCACCCAGCTCTGTTTAATCTAAAATGCTGTCTTATTTGCTTCAGATTTTTGTCTTTCTTAAAGGAATAAAGTAGTACGGAATTAGCTGAAGACACCGCACCCCTGGACTGCTTCCTAATTCTAGTTTCTCTTCTTTCCTAGAAGTAACTTCTGAATTTGGTGTTTATCATCCACCCCCAACCCGCCTTTTTTTTTTTTTTTAACTTTCCTTACATGCATTTGTATGCATCAACAATACTTAGTTTGCAGGTATTGTGGGAGGGTTTTATTGTGGGAAGATTCTGCAACTCACCAGTTCTTCAGCATGGTTTCTGAGAGGGATCCATACTGAAACAGGTGGTTCTGGCTGTCATTTCTGCGAAGGCATAGTATTTCGTTGGATACATATGTCTAACTTGATTTATTCTCCTACTAATCAGTTATGGTGCTATTTTCAATTTTTTGGCCATTATAAACAAGGCTGCAAAGAACATCTGAACACATCTCCTTGTACACATACTTGAGAGTTTCTCTAAGGTAAAACCTTAAAACCGGAATTTCTGAGTAATCTCTGCAACTTTACTAGATAGTGCCGGATTGCTCTTCAAAGCTGTTGAACAGTTTCCACTCCCACCGCAGCAGGGACCTTTCCGAGCTCATTCTCACCACCGCGCTGCCGAGCTCGCTCAGGCCTCCAGGGGGCGCCGTGCGGCTCCCCGTAATTCGTGGCGGCCGCGCCACAGCTGTTGTGGACTCCGCTTTTCTCGCCGCTATTAATAGTTTGTAGTCCGCTGGGCCAGCAGTCATTGTTGAAGATGGTATCCCAGAGACGCGTTTAGAGCAAGCTCCAGCCTCTGGGTCGCTGGGAGATGTGATCTTAATCCTCCTCTCTTCCAAATCTTTTCTAAAATTTGAAGGCAGTACAAAACAAAAACTTCTCTGTCTTGAACTAAAACCAAACAAGAACCTAGGTTCTTAAAAGAAACATCTGTATGCTTAATATCCAAAATATACAGCGCTAACACTTTAACCTATATGTTTGCTTCAGATGTTTTCTTTTTAAGAAGCAAAACATTCCAGTTACACTTGGAATTCTCCTATTCTTTCACCTCCCTGCCTTCCGGAGGCAGTTAAGATTCTTCGTTTGGCGGGTATCCAAACCATAAATTTGCATATCATATGTACGTATCCATAAACAATGTATAGTATTATTTATTTTTTAAATACACAAGTGGTATTCTGTACCTAATACTCCTGCAGTTTTATTTCCTATGCACACATTGTTTCTCAGATAAATCTATGCTGATTCCTGTGTATCTAGCTCATTTGGTGTTTATCTAGTCTCCTAACAATGTATTTTTTATATTGTTCTCAGCTTTTGCGTGTTTAAACAATGCCGCGTGCACACTTCAGGAGGGGGAAGGTGTTTGTGTTTTGTTCATGCTTTCTTTTGAGCCCCTACAAGTGTGCCTGGCACTTGGAAGGTACTCAATAAATTTATATTGAGTTAATGAATAAATGAATAGCTTCATACATGTTTCTAGGTGACCCACATGCAGACTTTGCCTCGAATATACATATAAAAGTGAAGAGGCTGGATTTTCAGGTGAACTCAGCATGTTACGCTCCAAGGTTTATTATTCTCTGGGTTTCCAGCTGGCGAGTGCCTGCCAGGACAGCCCTGGGACCCAGGGTGGTCTGGCGTTTGTAGCAGCCTCCACGCGTCTGAGGATCCTGCATGTTCCTGTGGTGGGAGCTGTCTTTGGTGTCCCTGGCACTGCCACCCCTTGGCACAGAGCATGCCCTTTATTTACAGGAGAATATGCCATCTGGTCTGTTTGGCTCCTCTGTATTGGACAGATTGACCACTGTTGGGAGAAAAGAAGACAAGTCCAAAGTTAAGCTGATGGGTGTAACGGGAGAGAGGGCTGGGGAGCAGGGTGCAAATGAGGTGGGAAGTGAACTCACAGGGTACCCGTTGGCTTTGGGACAGTAGGGAGAGAAATACAGGCACCAGGCTGAATGCAGCACCAGGGGTCACCTCCGCTGTGGGCCTAATAGCTCAAGATGTGAAATGAGACTCCAGTGGATCCGCTAGAGCAGTGGGTGTGCAGGAACCAGTACCCGCGGCCGTCGGAAAGGCCCACTTTTCTAGCATGTAGGATGACACACACTTGAGATCCTTTCCCATTTGGAAAGCATTAAACAAGCATAAGCTGCAAGCCCAGAGGGTGAGCACTCTGACTTAACAACCCTTTTACTTTCTTTTGCAAAGCATTCAAGGCATTAACTTCCAGCAAGCAGGGGAAGGTTCTTACTTAACTCTTCTCTTCTGAAAAGTCTTAAAAATCAGCGGCCGTGAGACCTTGTCTGTTACTGGTGGTGTGAAACCAGAGAGCACCCTAGTGCTGCTAAGTCGTGGGGCCATTCTGTCACTGTGTAACCTAAGAAGAACTGAGCCTAGTGACGGGTCCTCTGCTCAGAAGCCGTGGTGACTTCACACTGTGGACCAGGTATGATCCTATCCCTTTGGTGGGAGGTTCTGCTGCCCTCTTACTGTCTTAGTCTAACCCTGTGTTTCCTGCTACCGGAGGAGGTTTTGCCTCATCTATGCCAAGTGACCCTACATCTTTCCCTGTCCCTCACTGTCACCCATTCATCCTGTCCATCTCTCTCTAAGCCCCCGTGTATAGATTCATTACCTGATACATAACATCTGAATTTTTAATAACATCCAACATTTATATATCCCTCTATGCTATATGACCACACCCTCCATATCTCACTGAAGGTTCAACTTGGTGAGTTTTGCCAGACACACTCCTCTTATCTCTTTAATCACTAAGTGTTTATACATCACATCTTTTCTAATTACAGGTAATCATCTTTGTAGGCACACTTAGGGGTGTACATGTCATGTAATCTCCAGTAGATTATACATTCCCCTAAATTTATTATATTCTTCCCATTCCTGCATCTGTGTGCAGATACCCAGGCAGGTGGGGGCATGTCAGTTAACCACTCACCACATGCTTATTGAGCCACCCAGGTGGCAGGCATTATGCTGAATGGTACGGGGTCTGGGCAGGGTCCTGAGACTCTTGCAGGAAAGAGAGAAATCAAACAACTGAGTGAATCATTATAGGTAAGCAAAGGGCCACAAAGTAGAACAGATGCTCTGGGGATATGTGTGAGTGTATGTGGGGGTGGTTGGATGCCATTTCCCAGGAAATGATGTTACACTGAGGCCCACAGTGGGGGTAGAAGTTGGGAGCTAGGCAGAGCTGGGGAACGAATCATCTCAGGCAAAGGCAATAGCATGTGCCCAGACTGTCATGCAGAGAGCATAAAACATCTGGTAACTTGCAGAAAAAGGTTAATTCAGCTGGCGTGGGTTGCCCCAACCTTATACATTCCAAAGGTCTTCAGGACTGCCTCTGCATCAGCTCCTGTAAAATGACCTCTGAACTCTTGGAATATCCTGCCTGAAAAGAGTACCTCTGTACAGCCGAGGCAGTGGGCCGGGCCAGAGAGTCTATGCTAAGAAAGGGACAGGGGGAGTGCCCATGTTTGTACCCAAGGATTCTGGGGCCTCCATGTCAATTTGAGCAGCTAAAGTCAGTTATGCAAATGTTGCCTATATGATACACAAATGACCCCCAACAGAAACCCTGGATGCCATGGCCCGGTGAAGCACCCTAGTTGGCAGTATTTCTTCTGTGCTGTCACACATTGCTGCTGGGAAGGCAGCTCTCCATTCACAGGGCATCGCCAGAGCCCTTGCCTGGTTTCTCCGGGACTCTGCCCCACGTGCCTGTATTCTTTGCAGGTTGTGATTTGTGTCCTTTCACTGCAGTAAACCATAGTGGATTGGATGACAGCTTTTCTGTGAGTCCCTCTAGCAAATCATCAAAAACAGTGGTCTTGTGTGTGCGCACGCTAAGTCGCTTCAGTTGTGTCTTTGTGACCCCAGGGACTGTAGCCTGCCAGGCTCCTCTGTTGATGGCATTCTCCAGGCAAGAATACTGGAGTGGGTTACCATGCCCTCCTCCAGGGGACCTTCCAACCCAGGGGTCGAACCTGAGTCTCTTGTCTCCTGCATTGGCAGGTGGGTTCTTCACACCAAGGAAGCCCCAGAGTGGTCTTAGGAACCCCCCCCAAATAGAGATAGAACAGAGAGAGCAAGGGTTATGGGGGAGGGAAATGATAGAGGTGAGGAAGGAGATGGAGAAAGGGGACTGGATTTTTCAGAGCCTTCTAGGTCAAACTCAAGGTCAAGAATGACACAGTTCTGCCTGTGGGACTGATTCCAGTGCGGTTACTTTATTTCTGTTCCATGGCCCTAGGTGGCATCCAGCCCTGGACATCACCAAATGTACCTACAGAAAACATGTCAATCAGTGAATTTGCTTGGGGTGGGGTCGGGGGGCCCCAAGGGCACATAAAACCTATTGGAGACAAGCAGTGTTACCTGTCCAGACAGCTGCACCCATTATTTCTCATATGGCCCACCTTGGGTTTGAAGCAGAGTCACTGCTCAATATACACTGGTAAAGAAGAAACAGCGGTGTGTTTATTATAAAAGCTTGTGGGGGGTTGGAATCCCGGAACTGTTTTCGGTACTGAATCCCACATAATGAGCACTCAGAGGTGACATCACCAATCTGTTTCATGATCACATATCCATGGTGACAGAATAAGTAAAGGGGAAAAATAGGGTGAGGGAGTGGTTGAAGCGATTTAAGCAATTTGTTGGCACAAAGGACTCAGTTATCAAGGTTGCAAGTAAGTCATCAACTTCAGGCGTGGACATGCACAAAAGTGTCTCTTAAAATTTCTGCTTGCTTGTACAAGCATGCTGCCTTCTCAAGAGTATCCCTGGAATCCGTAATAGCCAGAGAAAAATGTTAAAGTAATGGAAGAAGTGCTTATGTAACGCATTTCTAAATCAACGAGGGACTATATTTTTGATGGTGCAGGAGGCTTGAGGCAGAAGCCTGTTAGAGGTGATGACTGTGCTGGCGGCCCAACACTCCCAAGTCAGAACCATGCTACCGAGGCCTGGGGCAGCAATGGGGGTTGGGGGGCCCATGTGCTCTCAGAGCCCCACCGATGGCCCTGTGAGCCAAGTGCCTCAGTTCTGGGGAACCAGGATGCTGTTATGTAATTCGTAATTACAGCAAATTCTCTTCTTTCTGTTCCTGACAGGGAAGGCAGTTTATGTTAGACTAACCCAAGTTTGAACCTTGTTCTAGCTACGTGACTTCGGGTGTGTTACTCAAACTCCTGGGCCTCAACTTACTCATCTGTGCACTGGTCATTATAAGAAAACCCTGTTCATAGGGTTGTTTTGAAGACTGGATGAGATAAAGCCTATAAAGCGATTTTCACAGCTGGCATGCATCAAGGGCTCAAATAACAACACAACCAGAAAGGATGTTAAGGTGTTTAATAAATCTTCAGACATAAGAAGACATTTTCAAGGGCTCGACGCCAGTCACATATGCCTCAAGATTGTCATGATGGGTGAGTACATCCCATGCTCTGAGTTAGACAACAGTGGATATGACAGAAGCGCCCTAAGGAATCAGCTTTACTATTTTGGCTTTTGACGTTTGGGCTGCATTTTAAACAGCAGCCTGTAACTCAGGTGCTCTTGGCTTCAGTGTCAGATATAAGGTTGTTGTTTGGCTTCCTAAGAGGATGAAGAGAGTGGATGTTGGAGGCTGTGCTAAGATGGCCCCCAAGGTCAAGTTCTGATCATGGAGATAGACCCCTGTGTGACTGGAACCAAGGGCAGGTCTTGGCAGGTGTGATGCCTGGTGGAAGGAGCCTGAGTCTGGACTTACCACTCGGGTTTGATCCCAGCTCCTTTTCTACAAGTGTGCGAAGCTCCTTTAATGCAAGTACGAGGTGTTGGGCAAGTTAGTGGTCTCTAAATCTCAGTTCCTTCATCTGTTCAAAGGGGAACATACCTGGCTTGCAGAGTGACTATAAGGATAAACTGGTAACAGTGGAATGTAAAATACCTGCTATATGGTAGGTGCTTCATAAATGATGATATAAGCAAGCATAGTCACAGCAAAGCGTGAAATGCATTAGTGATAACTGATACTGTTTTGTGACAAAGCAATCGTGTGAGACCAGATTAGTCTCTTTTTTAGAAAGAATGGCAAGATACAGACAGCAGGTTTGATGTGAAGATTGGCAGTTCATTCTGAGAAACGGCTTATGGTTTGGATCAAATCCCTGTCCTGGGAAAACCTGATCTAGGGGATCATGAGGGGCAGGGGGAGAGGGTGTGCATGAGGACCCGATTTCCTAGCCAGTGACGAGCTGTCCCATGGGATGTTGTGAATGGCTCTAAGGGTGATGACGAAGCACAGCTCCAAGGGAAGAGAGGGTAGCTGCTGTGAGTACACAGGATGGAAGCCTGTCTCTGCGGTGGGAGGTCATGGCACTTGCAGCCCAGAGAGCTAGCAGACCGCAGTCCAGGTGTGCTCAGGTGACGCAGAGGTGGGAGAACCAGGCTGGGGAGGAAAGGTCTCAGAGGAGGGCTCCTCCTGTCCTGACTCCAGCTGCTTCTGCATCAGAACTGTTTCCTGGGAGAGGACCCCAAGAGGCGAAGAGGAGCCCAAGCGGTACGGGGGCAAGTTTTCCACACAGAAAAGCCTCCATTCGGCAGGGAACTCAGATCAGCTGCCACAGAATAAATACGAGTGAAACTTTAAAAACATGAGGGTGGAAGCCGACATTAAAGCTATGCCCACCAGCAACTCATTGAGAATAAAGCCCTCCTGAGTGTAGAAACTTACTAGTGTCTATCACCCTCTTGGAAACAGCCTGGGAAGACGGGAGGAACTGGGGACGGGTGCCAAACATTGCTTGCAGAAGTAATGGTGTGTAGTGGTGTCTGCTTGGCCCTTTCTCCCCTATCAAGATGTGTGAATCTACAGGAGAACCCCTCATGCATGTCCCCACCTCTGCTCCCATAGGAAGTGAAAGCCTGTTCCTGCTGCCTGTTGGTCTGATGCAGTGGTTCTCAACTGCGCCAACTCTGTCCTCCCAGGGGGCATTTGGTAATGTCTGAGGACACTTTCTGTTGTCACATTTTTTTTTGTGGAGGAGGGGTGGGTGGGGATGCTTCTGGCATCTAATAGGTAAATGTCAGGAAAGGAAAGTGAAGTCGCTAAATCGTGTCCAACTCTCTGCGACCCCATGGACTGTAGCCTACCAGGCTCCTCCGACCATGGGATTTTCCAGACAAGGGTACTGGAGTGGGGTTGCCATTTCCTTTTCCAGAGGATCTTCCTGACCCAGGGATCGAACCCGGGTCTCCTGCATTGTAGGCAGACTCTTTACCATCTGAGTCACCAGGGAAGCTAGGGTAAATGTCAGGGGTCTTGCTAATTATCGCACAGACCACCCAACCCCAAGTGTCAGCAGTGCTGGAGTTGAGCAAGCCTGGTGTGATGGGCACGGAGATTCTGTCAAAGGAGGTGGCTTGTTCCGCTCACCTGCTATCACACTGTGGATGGGGAAGGGTCACAGCTAGCCTGCAGTCCCTCACTGGTGGCCATATACAGAGGGGTGGGGTGGGAATGTCTCCCCAAAGGGAGACTCGGGCTCACCTTCCAAGGTAGACAGAAGGAGAAGGGCAGAGTTTTTCATCTCAAGTCAACCCTTACTTATTTAAAAGCTGATTTCCTTAAGCACATAATTATATGTTTATTTCCCTGTGGAACTCTTGAGGCAGAGGAGACCTGCTTCAATTATGGGGATGGAGGCTGCACACAGGGCTTTAATGGGGTTAGAAAAATTTTCTCTCCTTTGATGGAGGCTTGGGAGGAAGGGAAGGACAGATTCTTTTCTTGCAGTGCAGAGGATTTGGGGGGATGGGGTAAGATAGGAACAGAGGGGCAGAGAGAATGAACAGTGATTGTGTGACCTCCATAGGTTGGAACTCCGGAGTGCAGCTTCAAGCCTCCCTGCTTTCCTCCAATCCCAGTAATCGGGGGGAACAGATCCAGGAAGTGGGCTGTTCACACCATTCCTTCCCTACCACCTTCATGTACACACACACACTCAATATACCCCTTTGGAAGAGGCTCTGGTTTGCATCAGGAAATAGAATGGGCCATGCTGCTGGGGGGGTGGGGGTAGGGAAGAGGAGACTTTAGTGAGAGGAGGGTAAGGGCTTCAGTGCTTCTTGTCATCTATTTCTCACCCCTCTGTTTGGCCTGAATGCTCGGAATTGTGGGTTCTTCTCTTTGAGAGATGCCCTCACCCGAGTAAGCTGGGTGGGGGCCTAGGGAACAGAATGAAGAAACTGATTACCTAGATTTGACACAAAGAGGAAAAGGTGGGGGGTGGGAGATGGCTAGGGCACTTTACAGCTTCTCTCTCACTCCTAGATTGGCAAGACTCTGGCAAATATTCCTTTTGTCTAAGAGTTGGATTGATGCTTTTGAACTGTGGTGTTGGAGAAGATTCTTGAGAATCCCTTGGACAGCAAGGAGATCAAACCAGTCCATCCTAAAGGAAATCCGTCCTAATATTCATTGGAAGGACTACTGATGCTGAAGCTGAAACTCCAATATTTTGGCCACCTGATGTGAAGAACTGACTCATTAGAAAAGACCCTGATGCTGGAAAGATTGAAGGCGGGAGAAGGGGACGACAGAGGATGAGATAGTTGGATGGCATCACCAACTCGATGGACATGAATTTGAGTAAGCTCCAGCAGTTGGTGATGGACAGGGAGGCCTGGCGTGCTGCAGTCCATGGGGTTGCAGAGTTGGATATGACTGAGAGACTGAACTGAACTGGCGAATATTCCTTTTGTCTAAGAGTTGGAGGAGGGCAGAGTTGAGTGGGCAGCAGTGGAAGGAAGGTGCAGTGAGAAGTGGGTGGCCTGGGGCTAGTGGTGGCTAGGCTATAAAGAATAGGCTCTACAGAAGAGCCCTCTCCTCCTCTATGTCCCACTGGATGGAATGTGTGTCGTTATAATATCTATTCTCTGTGGTTGGACTCTGTTGAACTCACCTCCTCTAGGAGGCTGTGAATTATGTGTTCTACAGCTGGAGAGTCCCAGCTTCTAACAAAGCCTGGCTCACAGACACTGAATACACATTTCATGATGAATCCCTACCTGATCTAGCCTGGTCAGCCATCCCAGAAGAGAAGACAGGAACTCAGGCCAGAGTTAAAGCAGAAAGTGTTCACCTACCTGGTCTATCCCACTCATCCTCTCTCTCGAAGCCACAGGTGTGGTGGTGGTGGTGCTGGCAGGGTGGGATTCAATGGGGGAAGTGAAGGTAACATGTCAGAAACATAGCCAAGGTTCATAGCCCTGAATGTCTTCATTTAATCATCTAATATCCTCTGCCCAGAGAGGCTGGGTTCTGGCACTCCTCAGCCTCAGGTTGTGGGGCAGCAGAATGGGCTGGGGGTCACAGGTGAGCCGGGCAGCCTGAGGCTGGGGAGAGGTGCCCAGACCCAGGGAGCAGAGCTGGTGATGCTCTGGGAACACAGCATCCAGGCCTTCCTCTGTCTTAAGAGGGCTAAAGGGGTGACGCACTTGGGGCATGTGGGCAGGACTGAAGGGCTGTGTCCACAGGTGCCCTCCTGACCTGCCAGCATCAGAGACCCTGGGTTGCCAGGGACTGGTTTCCTTCTCACCAACTAGTTCTCCAGAAGACACATCAAATATTTTCAAAGGGCAGATACACAAGAGTTTCAGCATCTTTAAAAGGCTGAAGTGCCTGCTACAGTCCTGGCCCACACTTCTACTTTCCAGAAGTGTGCCCTTGGAGCTTTCTGTGTCTTGGCCACCTCATCCAAAGAACAGGAATGGTTTCTGCTTTTCCTTTGGGCTGTGCTTAGTCACTCGGTCGTGTCTGACTCTTCGCGACCCCATGGACTGTAGCCCCCCAGGCTCTTCTGTCCATGGGATTCTCCAGGCAAGAATACCAGTGTAGGTTGCCATGCCCTCCCCAGGGGATCTTCCCAAACCAGGTATTGAACCCAGGTCTCCCACATTGCAGGCAGATTCTTTACCAGCTGAGCTACCAGGGAAGCCAGCTTTTTGTTTATTACAGGGCTCCTGAGAGGGATGTGTGGGAGCACTCTGTAAACTGTAAAGTGCTATGCAATGCGAGCTGTTCTTTAAGTTATTTATTCAAGGCAGCTGCAAAGGGCCCTCCCCACCCCACATCAGTGCATTCCTCCTATCAGGACCTGCCTGCAGGGAAGGGCTCCTCAGTCCCTTGAGTCAGCTGCGTACTGGAGAGCTTAGCGCTCTTGGTCCACTTCTGCGTCTGTGGCCCCATCTAACGCACAGATCAGGGCCGCGGAGGACTGGCAGAAGGGTACGGAGGCCCCTTATTTCGTTCGCTGGTAGAACTGGAAGACCGCCTTCTCTTGCTCATAGGTCTCGATGGAGCCGGGTCGAAGGCGCCGGATCTCAGCGATGGCATCTCCGGCAGCCAGGCCCCGCTCCTTCAGCAGGTAACAGGCCAGCATGGTGCCAGTGCGGCCAAAGCCCAGGGCACAGTGCACGGCCACCGCCTGCGAAGGGGGAGCTGGGTAGGGTGGAGCGCGACACCCTCCCCACACTCTCCCGCCCCTCGTTTGTGAAATACAGCCAAGTTTTAAAGATGTAGGGCACTGAAGAGTGAAAATATCTGGTCAAGAATTTATTTTAGATTGCTTATATGTTGAAAGAATATTTGGGACTTACTGGGTTAAATTATACTATCAAGACGAATTTCTCCTGCTGCTTGTTTACCTTTTTAAAAGAGGCTCCATTACATTTGGACAGAACCTTGCTCTGGAGTCTGCTCAACAGCCCTTGACTTCAACCCCCATCTTTCCCTTTCCTTGCAGAGAAAGTCTGTCCATCCTTTCTCCTTCTCAACTCACGTTAGGTGGTTCTTTGTTGCCTCTCCTCAAACCCAATTCTCCCGCTGGGCCCTCTTTTTACTCCTCCCTCGTATGGCTTTGGCTTTCTGTACTGGTGTACTGGTTACAATGGTCTTCTGGCCCCACCGTCTTCCTCCAATTTTCCCCCCTGGAACCCAGTTAAATTAATCCTGCCCTGACGTCCGCAGCCCCGCGTGTCCCCGCTGACTCCTCCCAAGCCCCTCCCTCCCCGCGCTGACCCCGCCCGCTGACCTCTCCCCTGGCGTTGGCCTCGTCGACGATCTTCACGAAGCGGTCGACCTGCTCCGGGCCCGGCGGGCAGAAGTCTGGGATGCGCAGCCGGTGCAGGGTGAGGCCGGGACAGCTGTCGCTGTGCGGGGGCCCGCGCTCCGTCAGGGACACCAGATGCCGTACACCTTGGTCCAGCAGGAACTGGTAGTGGGCGGGGAGCCGGGGCAGCGCCAGCCCCGCCAGCCGGCTGGGCAGCACCCACGAGAAGTTGGGGGGCTGCACGCCCATGGCTGGAAGACGGCACAGGACAGCAAGTCACCAGGGGCGAGGCCGGTCGGTCCCGCTCCGCTCACTCGCCTTCAGGCCGGGTAACCCTCCACCTACCAGGCAGTGGCGCCTCCTGGGACCACGTGGTCTCTGGGACAGACCCCGGGCGACGTCCTGCGCCGCCGCGGGGGATTGGCCAAGCCGCCTGAGGGGCGGGGCTAGAATGCCGAACTCCTGGCTCTGAGTGACCGTTCCGGCCCCAAGCAGGACGCTCTTTGATTGGTTGGATTGTCAATAATGGGCGGGATTACTGCAGCGGTGCACACGGAGATTGGTGGGCTGCAGAAACAGCTAAGAAGGAAAACCTAGAAGGAATTCAGAATTGTTTTCTGTGGATGAAGCAACCCCGGGTCGAGCTCTGCTGCTCCCTGGCGGTCGGTGGGAGTTACTGCGCCACTGGCCATCTGCCCCTACTGCCGAAGAGCCCGGCCCTGTCATAACTTTCCTCGCAGTGGATGCCCAAGAGTTTGAGAGATGGTAAATCTACATCATCCTTAAGGGAGGAATCTCCTCTACAGTGATTCTGACAAGTCATTATCAGTGACTTTTAGAACTTGTCAAGTAAGGGAGAATCACTGTTGTACAGGGGACTCTTGTCAGGACTTTTTCCGCTGCCGGAATTATTAAAAACACACACACAACCGTGTCGCTGCCATCTGGTCCCCTGAAATCTTACCCGGGGTAGTGATTATATAATAACAACAACAACAAAGACAACAACTTAAAAGGATTAACAAATTGAACATTTACGATGTGCCAAGTATTATCCTAAGTACGTTACATGTATTAACTGATGTAATTGCCACAATAATCTTATGAGGTACGTAATCTAATTAACTCTGTTTTACAGGTGAGAACACTAAAGCTCTGGAGAGGTTCAGGAACTTGACCAAGAGATAACTGATGGCAGGGGATCTGAAGCCTAGCACTCTGGCTCCAGAATCTTTAACGAAACAGGATTGTATTCTTAAGTCAAACAGAAGGTTACTGCCTCTTTACATAACCATCCTCATGCCCCTCAGCTGGGTTAAACAGTTGCAGGATTTCTTTGTTTTAATTAACTAATTAATTAATTAATTTTAAACAGTTGCAGGATTCCTTAATTTCTCTTCACAATTCCTAAGTCCCAGGTTCTGTGAGTCACCCTTCCCTGGAGAGGCTAGAGTTTCTGTGTGTCATTCATAGAAGGTGGGGAAGTAGATTTGAACACAGTGTCTTAAACTGTGATCTGAATGTTTCATATCCTCATTTGAGCAATGTGCTTCTTGTAATCAGACTAATTGTAATTATGAAAATTGTTAACCGTTATTGAATTTGCCTATGTACCAGGCCCTGTGCCAGGTGCTTTCTGGAAGAGCCGCACGGGGAAGGTATTTTTATATCCCTTCTGCACATGAGGCTTAAGGAAGTTGGTTAATTAGCTAAGCACACACAGCTAGTAAGTAGCTGGGCTGGTTGAGCCAAGGTCTGTCTCATTCCAAGCCCAGGGTGCCATGAAGACATGTGCCCCTCCCTGTCCCTATCTAGCCCTGACCACACACTTGGTTCCAGCAAAATGAAAAGGAATTTTTCTTCCTCCAAAGATCAAAGCCTGCTCTGACCCTGTGGAAAGTGCACTTCACCATTTATCCTGGCAACTGAAGCATTGCCTCCACCTACTTTCCTCAGGTTCCAGGAGCTTCCAGATCTACCCTTTCCCTTTCTTCTGAACAATCACAGCCCTGATTCAGTCCTTCCTGTCTGCACTCCCATTTCCTGCACAACTCGCCAAGACTTTCTAGCCCATCCCAGTGTGTTTTCTCAACCACCAGTTACCCCTTCCCCCCTCCCAGCAACTTCAGTCAACCCCTAGCTCAGCATTTCTGATTGCACTCCCTCAGTGATAAGAGGCAGTTGCTCCTTTCAGACTGAACTTTTCTTAGTTCCTTTTCCTTGCTGTCCTTTCTTCGCTCCCTCACTCATTAGGGAAAAAATTTCCACATCTCTGCCCACCTCGTTATGCCCATTCCTTGCCTCCTTGAGATCCAGTGCAAAGCCCATCTTTTCCAGAAAGAAGACATTTCTAGGGGAGACAGATTCCTATGGGGGTCTCTGCAGGGGTCAAAGAGCATCCATCAACCCATTTTGGGCTTCCTTTGTAGGAATTCCTCCTCCATCTCTACTGCTCTGCCTCTGGCTTTTAACAGACCCTGTGTGAAAGGGGTCTTTGCCTTGGTCTATGTCCCATTGTCAAGAATACTATTTAATTTTCTGTCTTGGGCCCGGGGCCTCACACTGAAAGAAAAACTCCTTTATGGTGGTTTCCTGACTAGGATTCCTGCAACTAAAACAATGTCAGCTTCCCACAAATAGGCCCCAGCCCCAGGCAATACTGAGCTTCTTTTCTTTACTCTTCTGTAAAGTGTCACCTTGACCTTCAGGAAATTTAATCTCTATCTCCATCTCATTTTATATAAATATGTACTCCTGGTAGAGCAGTTAGTTTATTGAATTGGGGTTACCTGTTTGTGTCATTCCATCTTTGAATTTCGTACATCTAATATAGAGCCTGATACACGGTGCTCAAAAATGTTAAATGAATGAAAAAAATAAGTAGAGTGTGTATGCAAGACTGTGAAGTACATTTCTGGGAGTGTAGGCAAGTCTCCAGGACTATGTGACAATGGACGTTTGTGTCTTTTTTTTTTTTTTCACCAGCAAAATGAGTTTATTCAGGAATAGTAAAGAGTTGCAATTTGAGACAAGCAGACTGTGTCAAGGGCTTCCCCAGTGCCTCAGCATTAAAGAATCTGTCTGCAGTGCAGGAGATGCGAGTTTGATCCCTGGGTTGGGATGATTCCCTGGAGAAGAAAATGGCAACCTACTCCTGTATTATTGCCTGGGAAGTTCCATGGACAGAGGAGCCTGGTGGGCTGTAGTCCATGGGGTCACAAAGGGTCGAACACGACTTAGCGAATAAACAACAACAACAAAATTCTGCAAACCATAGGCAAGTCCAGGGAACAGAGGAGAAGGGCTTGGTTTTATAGAGGAAAGGAGAAAAATGAGGAGGGCAGTGATGGTTCTTCATCGGCTGCAACTGGTAGACAACTTGTTGTTGATGGGCCGGAAAGAAATTGTTTTCTTCCTGCTGGGGTGTTTGTGAGCCTTTTTAATTGCATGAGTTTGAGGACTATTTAGGTGCTGTTTGGCACCTTCTTGAAATATGCTTTTTATATATCTGTGCTTTTAAGAAGAGAATGACTATGTCAATATGATCCTGTCTAAGTCTAATTACTGCTTTGTAAAAAAGGATGAATAAGCCTTGCTCTTTGCAGAGCTCTGCTCTTGTGTGCATGTGTTTGATCACGTGTATATGTGAGTGTGTTGAGGGGGACATTTTCTTGGAGAACAATCTGTTGACACTGATGGTAGGCTGAATAATAAGCTTACTTTCCCTGACTTCAAGGAATTTACAACATACTGGGGGGAGATTTAGTAATTGTTCTCATAACATATAATAAAGTATTGAATTACTCATCAAAGACAATCAGATAATATATATTGAAAAGTTAATTGTGCAGTAAAAATAACAAGCACAGAAGAAGTCAGTAGGGGAAAGGTAAGCTTGGGTTGGAAGCACCAGCACAGTCTTAGGAGGACAGGGTCTTCCTTCCGTTTTGTTCACTGTTGTGAAATGCTGGAAATGACATTCTTTGAAAGTCCAAGATAATGGTTTTAGGGCTCTCTACCTCCACTTCCCCAGCTGATAAGAATGTTTTGACCTTGTCCTCTTTGATGGCTAAGGCTCAGTTCCCTGAGGGCTTGATACCAGTGGCAATTGAAGCTGAAGCCAGAGTCAGAGAATTCCTTCCTCCAAGTCGGTCCCTGTGTCTTAACAAGGCAGAGGATTGCTTGGATTTGTGTTTCTGTGGCCCTTGGACTACAGCCAGAGCTCCCAGTGTCTTAAATGTTCTGATCTCCTTTTGTCTTAACACAGTTCAGACTTGGGACCCTATGATGTGGAAACTGAATTTAAGAAGGGATGGTGTGGTAGCCAGCCTTAAAGATGCTGCCCCCACAGGGAACCATCTCCTTTCTTGTGTAAGCCTTTCCCACATTGTTAGGGCTGGTTTGTGTCATCAATAGGATTTTGTGGAAATGATGGTATGTGACTTCTTGAATGGAAGAGAGAAGGCAAACTTAAGTAGAAGTTTGTAGTGACTGAAAATCGCTCAGTCGTGACTGACTCTTTGTGACCCTATGGACTGTAGCCCACCAGTCTCTTCTGTCCATGGAATTCTCTAGGCAAGAATACTATAGTGGGTAGCCATTCCTTTCTTGAGTGTATCTTCCCCACCCAGGGATGGAACCCGCATCTCCTGCATTGCAGGCAGATCTTTATGGTCAGAGCCACCAGGAAGCCCTTTATGACTTTACCTACCTATGTGACTTCTTAGGTAAAGTCATAAAAGACAGTATGGTTTTTGACTTGCTCTTTTGTGGGAGAAGCCAGCTGCTGTGTTGGGAAGAGTCTCATGAGAGATCTGTGCGGGAGGCTTCATATTAACCTCATGGAAGGGAACTGGCTATTTTGGAAGTGGATCTTCTGGCTCCATCAAGACTTTAGACTGCTTGCCCAACATCTTGACAATAGCCTCATGGATCCCTGAGCCAGAATCACCCAGCTAAGCCTCCCTTGAATTTCTCATGCATAGAAACTCTTGAGATAGTAAATACTTAATGTTTTAAGCCATCAAATTTTGGGATAATTTCTTTTGCAGCAATAGGAAACCAGTACAGATGAGAATATTCAAATAAATGGAAAGAAGAGAAATAATTTTTCTTTTCTACCATGCATAATAGCATGTGGGATCTTAGTTCCTAGACCAGGAATCTAACCCATGCCCTCTCCACCACCCCCTCCCCCAGCAGTAGAAGCACAGAATTTTAACCACTGGATCATCAAGGAAGTCCTGAGA